ATTCTGAGTGAATGTGTCCTAACTATGATCCATTTCCTTCCAAATCTACTGATTTGGGGTTTGCCACAGAACAGTCTTTTATGTAGTTTTGTTATATATATATACAGCAAAGCATATTGGATGAACAGTAAAACACATATACACACACATGCACACACACATATGTATTGTTAAACAAATGTATATAGATAAACATACACAGAAAAGCATCCTGGAGAAATAGTAACACATATATACATATATGTGTATATATATATGTGTGTGTATCTCTCTCTTTCCCCTTATATATATATATGCATACATATATATAGATTGATTTTTTTTTCCATATATATATATATATATAAAAAGTTCCTAGTCCTTCTTATAGAAGTTTTCTCCTAGTGGACTTGAACCGAATATTCCAGTATTTCTATGAACCTGCTGTGAATCAGGCAAGATCCACAGATCCACTGCTTTTATATAGATAAATTATCACCACTACTTACTTAAAATGGAAAAATAAGGGAATTAGGAAGAAATGTTGAGACCAAACAAAAAGCTTTTGAGAGTCTATTGGAAACTAAAAGCAGGCAGTTTGGAATTTTTTTTTCTTTTTTTTTTTTTTAATTTTAGTGCTCTTCTCATTTATTCTGGAGCAGGGAAAATATCAGCATTCCAGAAATGAAAAAGGCCACCTGTTTGTCTGCAGCTGTGCTGCAAAACAGAGCAGTGCTACTGGCAGCTAATAATATCTCCAACTTGCAGTAGTGGCATGTATTTGGCATTTTATTCAGCATTCTGGGCAGATATACAGCTTGGCTTGCTTTTATTTTCCCCAAGTTTATCTGAATATCTCACACGGGCCATGCAGTAGCACATGTGACAAACGATGGCTCCGCAGTGCTGAGCTGTAGAACGGATTTGCAGTGAGAATACAGTGAGACTGTTTTGTACGTATTGTGGCGGATGAAAGGAATGGAAGTGGGCCAAATTCAAGCTGTTTGCCATTGCATCTGATCAGCAGATCCTATGGAGAGAATTTGCCTGCTGTGAATATTTGATTCTCACTAGCTTGAACTATCTTGTGTGTTGGCAGTGCTACTGTGTGAATTTGCAGTGGCTTTCCAGGGTGTCTGTCCTGCTCAACTGCCAATTTCTGGGAGTTTTTTACAGGGTTCAGGATTTTGTGCTCTACTTTGTGCATGAGAGAAATTACTTAATGCTATACAGTGAACATTTTTTCATATTTATAACACTGATTAAAGCAAAAAGAAAAATTAGAAGTGAGTAGCCTGTTGTCTTTTCCCCCTCCCTTATTCCCGCCCTCCACCTTCATAAAGGCGTAACCCTTCTGCCACCTACTCTCTCTGCATTACCTTCAGATGGCAAGGTGATTTTGTAGTGGTGAGTCTATCAGTTTACACACCAGAAAGGATGAAAAGGTGATAGTGTTGAAATGCAGTTGGGAGAACAGAGCATTTTTTCCCGTCCTTCCTTCCTTGTTCTCAGGGAGTCGGTGCTCTGTACCCTTATCTGTCCCTGACCCTTCGTACTGGTGCTTGCCTGGGAGTTTGCAGTTTTGTGTTGTTTCATTTTTTGTTTCTGAAATTCAGTATAGTGAAACATTTGCATTAATAATTTTTGGTTTTCGGTACTTACAAGTAAATGACATTGCTTGTAGTGCTGATGTTACAGTAACTGTCAGGACTCTGCTGAGGCAAGCAGAAAAGGCTTGGGATTTAACCTATCAGTGTGGTGGTGTCTGTAACCATACTGAAGCATTTATCTTCTCTATACAGCCTATTTAGACTTTCTGTCATTTTATAGATTAAGCATAGATAAAATTGTATAGCTGTCTGTGATATCTATAGATTACGGATTTATAACTTTTAAATGTGTATACATATTAGTATTTATGAATATAAAATTTTATATATTAAAATTATAGAGAAAATTTGCAAAATAAATTTAGGCTGTAACCTATCAGCTTTTTCTTCCTCTGTGTGTATGAAGGACAAAAGCCAGAAGAAGATTTTTGATTATACAGTGGTGTGGGATAAAACCAAGAGGAGCCAGCAAGAGACAGTCGCAGGTCCTCTGGGGCTGTAGGAAATGATGTGCTGACCAAGTGACCAATTCTCTGTCTACTCCAACACTGCAGCTGCAGAAAGTAATGCCTGAGAGAAAAGCAGTATCATCTCCATTTAAGAAACTGAGGAAATTGTGCGTTAGTGCCTTGTAGGGGCTACCAGAAGGACCAAGTTCTGGTTGTGTGTCTTCTGAGACCGCTGTAAAAGATAGCACTCTGTTAGCTGAGGCACAGCAGCTGGCCACCCTGAGATCCTTGCCACTGCAGTGTGACCCATTTGCATGACCTATTTAACTCTGCCAAGTTGTAAGGAGCTGGACAGGCACATTAAATGTTTCTTTTAAGTCACCCATTTAAAGTAAGAATGGTTTTTATATCTTGCTACTTGTAAACCTGTTTTTTCTGCTTTCTTCAGTTTCTTCAGCAATGACAAAGACTGGCATTTTTTGACAAAAAGTGCATAATTTCAGCTAACAGACACTGAACAATAAATCCTGTTGAAAGATAAAAGCAACATTTTCTGAGAACTGAAGAAATCAGGACCTGGTCAATGCAAGGTGTAGTAATCCTGGGAGAAAGCTTTGCTGGGAGCTGGGTCTTAACTTTAAGACTCCTTTCTTCCTTTAGTGGCTTAGGAGTCCTTTTCTCCAGTGACTCAATGGAACTAAAAAATGTGAATTTCATCTGTACTAGAGCAAACCAGGAAAAGTTTAGTTTTGCAGTAGTATGGGATACATTTTTTGGCTTGGGATTAGGCAGCCTAGGCAGGTGTCCTTGAGTAAATATATCACTTGAAAGCATTTTCTTTGTTGGATTTTTCTTCAATCCTTTTGAACAAGTGCCATTTTTAGAACCATTGGGAAATAAAAATTATGAGATTTTTAGCAAAAGCAGAAGCTTCTTTCAGGGCTCACTGATTGCATCCTGTTGGCACATGTGGTTATTTGTGCCCATACAAGATACCAGCTTTCTGAGGAGTTGTTTGGGTGATAGTGTTAGTGACTTGCCAAACATTATTCATATGATGACCATCAAAATAAAAGCATGAAGCCAACAGGAGTAGATGACACTGGTTTTTTGAGAAGCAGGCATTTGTTCATCAGCAGAAGAACCAAGTTTCCAAACTATGTGGCTGCCAAATAACTGGTATTTTTGTTACTGCTTATCATAACTCAGATGTCAACTTCTGGCATAAAGATGGGTGCAATTAGTTATCTTCAGCATTCCTCCTCCTTTGATTGTTTTCTAAGTCTATTAGGTTACTATGATCTCTATGTATAGTATATTTTTTTGTTAAATTTGGAAATGCCATTAGGAACTTTTTTTGAATGCTTTTGCATTTTTATTTGATATATTAGATTTATGCATTGCTCCACAAGCCATTTGAGAGTGACCAGGACTGTCCTCCATCAAAGACTAAACATAAGAGTTATTCATGGTGCAGTTGGAAAAATTATAATGCAAACAGTAAGCCAGATGGAAAATTTTACAGGCATCTTTTCATGTCATGAATGATGCTGTCTCTCTGGGTTATGGGCTCTCTGCTCTCTCAACTGCTGCTCCTTTCCCCCCCTGGCTCCCCTCCAGAGCTGTTAAGTTTCAGCCAGGGAAGAAAGGGAGATTTGAACTCCTCTGAATTTCCAAGTCTCTGTTTTCTGTGGTGTGGCTGGCGAGCTTTGTGTTGAGAGTGTTGGCATGCCAAGAGCCATGGTGATTTGCATGCTGCTTGCAGAACAAACAGGGCTGCTCTGCTGAGCCCCAAGGAAGGCTGGGAGCAGATGTGGGAGAGCCCTGCTCACCAATCCTGCTCTGTCATGCAGAGTGGGTAAGAGCTGAACACCGCCAGGCTCCTGCTTCCCAGTTTTTATGGAAACAGGTCTCCACCACATGCTTTGGTTCTGCTCCTCTGTAACTCTTCATGTGGCAGCTTAGCTCTTGGTTTGAGATGAGATTCAAAGAATATCAAGCTGTACATTTTATCTTTACTTGTTCACATATCTACCATTGCAGTTGCTGGTCTAGAAATGTATATATCTAAATAATTATTCTCTACTACCTGCAAGATTTTTCCATGTAAAACATATTCACTGGTTCTGTAACAGGGGAGTGGTGTACATGCATATGTATAAAACCTGTACTAACTCTATATGCTCACATGCAGATTCAATCTCCTTGGTCCAAACTGAAGTGCCATTACTTGGACTTGGTTTGAAAGAGACTTATGTCAGTTTTTATTTAGCCTTTCTTAGTTACTGACTTCTAATTTTTACACTTTGCAAAGAGTAAATCCTCCATAAGTGTTACAAAATTGAGTGTTGTTTCTTCTTAGAAACAGTGGGCATGTGAAGTGTAGCTTCAAGGTTTTTACTTCAGGAGAAAGCACCTGTCTCTTTTCTCAGCGCCTTCTGACTAGTTTCCTTTGGAGAGGCAAGAGAGCAGTTGTGTTAACTGGCTTGCTCATAGCTAACATGCAAAATGTTTTCTGAACAAATTGCTTGCTTAAATGGTGATGGGCTTTTCCACATCTACTCTTCCTGCTCCCTTCAAAAATCCTACCTTTTCTACTCTGTAACATGCTGAGGTTGTGTGGCAGCCTCCAGCAGTAGGTGGAGAAATCAGTGGACGTTTTCCAGTTAAAAAAAGTTGCCATCTGTGTTTGAAAAGAAGTCAACAAGCTTGTTGTAGTTGTATATCTTGGAAAAAAAGAAAGAAAAAGAAAAAAGTTTCATACATATGTGGTTTTCAAACAAAATCTACACTGACCTCTTAAATTATGTGACTGGAAATATCTTTAGTTCTTCATTTAACTAATGGTATGACTATTCATGAGCAGTTACTGAATTAGGGAGAAGTTGGTCTGGTAAGATTTTTTTTTTAGTTAAGGAGAGCTTTAAAGTGTTAAGATTTTATGCTTTTTGTCTCTTTTCAGGATAATATCATCTTATTCTTAAGAGGCTGCAGAGAACTGGGACTTAAAGAATCTCAGCTTTTTGATCCTGGTGATCTGCAGGACACATCAAACAGAGTAACCAAGTAAGTACAACAGCAATTTGTGACTAGCATGTTACAGCCTCAGGTGCATGTGATGCAATAGTAAATATTTAAGAATGAGCAAAAAGGCTATAGGATTGTAATTAGTATAAGGCAGATAGGAAGCAGAAGTTTGGGAAACTTTCAGTGTTGGGATGAATAGATTGTTCTATTCAACAGGTTTTGTCCCAGAGACATCAACCACAGCTCTGCAAAATAGGATAACACTTGGAGAATGCTCTCAGGTCCGTGGTGTGACTCTTGGGGATGTGCAGGCCTGGGAGTTGGACTTCATGAGTCTTGTGGGTCCTTTCCAACTCAGTTTACTCTGTGATTTTGTGAAAATACTCTTAGTTAGGCAATGAGATTCTGAGGGACTTAGGGATTTTCGTAATCTAAATTGATGATATTCTTTTTTTGACTGTCAAACTCATAAAATATTGTAGTCTGGTGGAGAAGAAGTCACAGTTCTGCTATGTCAGATTGTAATTGTTCTGGTGGTGAAATATAGGACAGTTATAGGCCTTTCAGATTCTATGAGATGCAGGCATAAGCATGGTCTCTTCACTTTCCTGCAAGAAATGCTTAGGATAGTGACATTTTGCCCTTGAGACATGCAGTAATTGAACTGAGGAAGTCTGTGTGAACTGGAAATGCCACAGTTTAGGTAGTTTTTCACCAAAACCCCACACCCAGTATTGCACAAATTGCACAGGCCTCCCATCTTTTAAAAGCAAAACCACACCACACTTTCATAAAATTTAAAAAAATTATAATTGGTGTTTCTTAATTTCTAAATTGGTATTTGGAGGTTTTCCTGAAAGTTTTGGGTCTATCATGTCATGTTACAGTTATAACAGAAGTTATTGCTCTACAGACAAGCAAATGCTGCTGAGTTGATTGAATGGTCTCATTTCATTTGGCCAAAAAGATCACTAATGAAATCCTGATCAGTCCTATCTATTTTAGAGAAGTACATGGAAACAATTTACTACATTTCAGTAGCTCTTTTTTTTCCTTTCTGGCAATGGAAGCTGGGCAAGTTTTCATGGTATTCAGGCACTGTCTGGGAAAATTCAAAGGCTCTGAAAATCAAATTGGCCCGTGTCCTTTTTTTAAGGTATACCATTTTTTACTCCTTCCCAAGTTTCTGACTCTAACATGAGGTTCTTCTTGCCCTCTACATGGAAGTGAGTGAAGGCTATGTAATGTATTTCTTCTAAATCTGATAATACTTTGATAAAATGGGTTCTTCATGATGTCCTGTAAAATCATTATGATGATTGACTGGAGAGAGTTGCAAAACAATCCATAATCTTCATATAAAACCCTAATCTCCATATGAAACCAGAGAGGAAGAGTCTTTCTGATAAAAACCTTCATCATTTGGGGTTGAGGATAGATGGAGTACCTTGGTGGAGGCAGGTTGAGAGGCTTTGACTAGGGTGGAGCTCGAAGCAAAGCTGTCACCAAGTTAAGCCTGGCATCATAAACCCTGCAGAGCTGGCCTGGGCCTCCACTGCATATGAGGGCTTCAGAGAAAGCAGCTGTGGAAGTGAGCCAAATGTTTTCCTAGCACTGTCCAAGTTCACACTGAGTAACTGAGTTGAGGTGTACAAGCCAAGTCCATGACTGTTTTAGAGAAATATGTTGAGAGCTGTGTTCTGCTAGCTAGTTCCCAAAGCATGAAGGTGATTTTTTCCCTCTTTGAAGATTTTTGCATGATTTTTTTAAACATGGTGGAAATATTATTTGTGGTAAAGGATGAGTATGACATTATTGCACATGCTTAGGATAATGACATTTTGCCCTTTTCTCCATACAGATGTTGATTGAGGCATGTATTAGATCTATTTTTTGGATCACTCTGCTTATAAAAATTATGAGCTAATGCTGTAAGGAATTTTTTTGTGACTAGTTAGGCCAGTCTCTTTTCCACTGTTATTTTACTAAGAAAAAAAACATGACTATTCTATTTTTCTTATTGTGTGGGTATTAGTTGACAAAATTTTGGCTCAGAAAGATATTATCAAAAATACTTTGTTTACCATTGCCTATATTTAGGCTTTTGTTGTTCTAACAGATTTGAGTATATTTATTTTTGGTTTTGCCAGATAAACTGTAATGATGGAGTGGTCTTAGTGTTAGAGTAGCAGACAATTCCACTGTAAATAATCAGGACACAATTTTTACTAAATCTCAAATGGTCTTATGTAGGTTTTAGTACCTAAATGTGACATGTATTTCCTTCTCTTTTTTTATGCTTTCTTTGCTGAATTTTGAAATGTTGTTTATGTTTGCACAAACTTTGTACCTTGTTTTTAACATAAAACTGCCACTCTTCCATGAACATAAGAGAAAAAAAAATAAATTGAGAAGGATGATGCCAATGTTCAGTTTGAGTGCTCAAGTATGCATTTAAAAAATAAATGTTTTCCATGGCACATTCTGTTCTAAATGGCAGGGTCTTTGTTGCTTCATCCATTCACTTTGTTCTTTGTAATGTTTGTTTTCACAGAAGCACCTGCAATATTTCCTTAATGTTTGCTGATGCCTCTTATGCTTGTTCAGTTGCTTCCAGAATCTGTATGGGCTGCAGAGCAGAATCTGACTGTTGGATAACTGCAGAATGTATTTTAGCAGTGAGGACTTTTGTCTTCCTTTTTAAAGAAATCAGCAACTCTGTTTAAAGGAAATATTTTGGCATTGTCCTACTTTACTGTGGGAGCATTATAAACACATTTTCTTCTTGTACTTCCAGAATTCTAATTTAATGATTGAAATACTGGTGACAAAATACTCCCATGCTATGAATAAATGAATGTGTGAACTACATCTTCTTAGCTTTCATGTATTTCCAGACAGCAGAAGCATTCAGCAGGCTTTTGTTAGGGAAAATGTGATCTGCTGCATACAGCCTCTTGGAAAGTATGTCTACTTTCTGATTTTTTTTTCCTTTTTTTTTTTTTTTTTTTCTTATCTTTGTATGTGTTTGTGTGTGCAACCAGGAACATTGACTATAGTAGGAAGCTGAAAAATGTAAGTACATCATTTGGAGTTTTTCTTTTTGTCTGGTTAATCCTGTTATTGGCCTGATCAAAATTATGTCAGTAAAAACTGAATACATGACTATTGCTGAAAAGTCCTTCTGAATACAAACCTAACTGGGTTCTGCTGGAAGTTTAGGTAGAGCTGCTATGGCAAAGCAGCCTTACAAAAGAAATAAAATGGAGACATTTGTCTCTTAGATGAGTGATAAGCCAAGTGATTTCTGTGCTGTCCAGTGTGGTGTTTGCTGGGAATGGTCTGATTCAACCATGAAGCCACACTTTTGTAGCCCTTCCCAAATATATAGGCATAGAGTACAGTTGCACAAAGTATTTAAAATGAAGCAAAATAACCATTAAATTGGGATGCAAGGCCTTACTATGAGGTTTGCTAACTTTCTCATTGTTCTTCCAAATAAATTAGGGCTTCTCCAGAAAGGCTATTTCCATTTAACTTCAATTTACTCTTAATTTAAACCGAGGGAAATGGTGTTGGATTCTGTGCTTGTTAACTAGAAAAGAAAATGTCTGAACTTTGCTGGTCTCAGTTTAAAGCCTAGCAAGCTGTCTGTCCTTAGTTAGCTGTAAACTGGTGTAATTTTTGTTTGGCTCACATCCCTATATCCTGATATGAAATGCCAAGATCTTTTTTAATAGCTTTGAAAACCAGTAATCATAACTTCCATGACTGGAGGTAAAAGAAACCAAAACCCAAAGAACACCAAAACCACCCCTCCCCCCAAATTGTTTCATCCTGTCTTTCCCATCATCAGCAGAGCAGTATCTTCTGCAACCAGCGCACAGACTTTTAGGGGAAGAACTCAGCTTTGGTATTTCAACACTCTTTGTGGACACTGGCTAAACATCTTTGTACAAATGTGTTGCTGTAAAGGTGAAGTTTCAAAAGTATCCTCCATAACGTGCTTGTAGGCAATATATGCTTTCCAGGTGCGTGATCCTGCAGCCTCAGCTGGCAGCCAGCCGGAATTGCTTGCAAATGTGCAATTTTCTGCCTTTTTTTTTCCAAATAAAGAGAGGAAGAAGAGAGAAAGTGATTAAATGCTAGCCGAAATAAATAAAAAACCCCAAAATACCATAATCTTCATCAATGAACTCAATGGCAGTTTCCTGGTTACTAGAAATACTGTTATTTGCAAATATTTTCATTTAACTTGAGAACATCTACTGTAAGACTTTTTTGCATTAAATTTGTCAAGTGGTGTTGGTTGAAGGAAAACAGTTCAGATAAAGGTTGTTTCAAGACAAAAAGAAAATCAGGACTAGCAACACCACCTCCTTTCATTCAGCACAGTAATATAGATTTCAATGTAATTTTTAAAAAAAAGGGAAAAGTTTTTGAACTCCAGTAAAAATTTTACTCAGTATTTCATGATATGTATACTACTTTTAAACTAAAGAAGAATATAAACTTTATTTATATATAAAATACTTATTTTACATTATGTAGCACAGTTGTTAAACAGAAGGTCTGTATGATGTATCCTTTTCTGACAGGGCATCAGCTGCAGTGCTGCATGATTTTGGACATTACACTTAAATGAAAAATGGGGATGCTAGTGCAAGTTGATAAGAAAAGTCTAGCATGTTGCTGAGAAGTAACTTGGATGCATGTTTTAGGGAAGAAGAGTCCAAGAGATGTCTGCTCCCAGTGGAATTGACCCCCACTTTGGGATTTCTGCTAGTCCTGTTTCCTTTAGTTCACTATATAGCATGAAGTATATGGCCGTGTCCCATCAAAACATAAAATACTGTATTTCAGTTTATGAATCTTTTTTTGATACAGTTAATGACAACTATTATTTATTATTGGCTGCATCTCTTTTCCACATCAAAATATTTCCTGTTCATTCTGCAGTTAAATACTTTGCAATGTCATGGAATATGCCGAAATAATGAACATTAAATGAGAAAATGCCCTAAGTTCTAGGGTGATGGTTTGTCATTTTTAACCAGTGCAAAACACTGAATTGAATTGCCTTTGATGAGCAGTTTCCAATCCAAATAGCTGCTGCACAGGTATCATTAAAGACATTGCTCTAAGTGGAGACATATGTGGCGCAGAAAAGGTTTTTCCTTGTATGGTATAAATGTCAGCATTTTTGTATGTATTGGATTTTACCATCCTAAGCATCCTAATTTCTCATTTTCTAAAACAAGTACAACAACACCAGCAGTGTCAGGTCAGACATCTTTGCTACTTGCAAGAGTAATTCTTGGTCCTTTTCCCTCACCAGTTTTGAAGGAATTTTTGAGTTATGGAGAGATACAAAGTCAGAACTTGAATGAAATCATTGGCTTTAATGCTGTAGTCTGATAGAAATGACAAGATGCTCGTGGCTTTTGATTAATCTTGGGCTAAGAAATTCTTAAACTAGCAGAACCCTGGAAATAAATGTTCCTGTGTCATCTGGTTACTTACATTAAGGTGATTAAAAATGGATCTCCCTTTTCTGTCCTTGAAATAGACACATGTTTGAGATGCTTTTAGGCAGGCAGACATTCTAGGTACTTTGTTTATTACCTTGGTCTGAATAGTTTGCATTAATGACTACTAATATTAACAGTCTTTAGGCAGTTTTTGTATTGAATTTAAAAACAAATGTATTTATGTGTGCCTTCTAGAAGTTTCAAGTCTTTGTCCAGTTTTTCTACTCAGATCCATCTTTTCTGTTTATTTTTCCAGGCAGACATAACACTTTTATTATTTTTATTTAAAATAACAGGGAGATAATATGTTAAGTTACATATTTTAAGACTGTTAAATACATCAGGCAACTATGAAAGTTTAATGTTTAACCTTTGACAGACACTTCCCTTTCAGTTCTGATTTATAAAAAAATCTCATGCTGCTGTGCAGTTTAGAATAAATGAGGGATGCTGCAGGGAAGTAAATTTAGCTACAGGACTGTGTAGATGGCTGAAATTAATTCTTGTTAACTTCTGCAGGTATTAGTCACCATTTATTGGCTAGGGAAAGCAGCAAACAGCTGCACATCATATAACGGATCAACCCTGAACCTGAAGGAGTTTGAAGGCTTCCTGGCACAAATGAGAAAGGTATCTTTTTCTTATGTTTTGGGAATGGAAATTTACTTCAAACTTACTGCTCTTATAAAAAACCTGTTTCTTTCTAAATATGGGAGAAGAGGGGCTGGAGTGCAAATTCCTTAGTAAACCTCTACTTACATCAAAAATGTTTCTGATTCTACCAAACTGAAAACCACTTTGGCAGACAGCTTTGTGGTGGCATCAGTGATGCATCAAGTGATGTCAAATAGGGCTTTAGAATTGTCATGTTGCTCTTTCATCTTAATTTCCATGTGTTTTGGTTTGATTTTCATTTATGACAGAAGTTACAGCTAAAAGAGCTGAGATTCAAAAGTAACATGGTAGGACTCACAAAAACATAGTTTTTTTTCTTGTTTAAAACATTCAGTCTCATGGGCAGCTTTTTTGGTTTTGTGTTGCAACATAAAACATCAAACCAAAGGATCTAAATAAAGCTGAAGTGGAGGAGAAGGAGATCATCTTTCACCAAAGGCATAGTTAGGATAAATCTGTTTTTGCCAAGCTCTGAATTCTGGTTGAAATCATATTTGGTGGTTTATGATGAACTGTTCTCTGTTGGAAGAGAAAAGTTGTGATTGCTGCGGGGTGGCTTGAGGATTTTTGGTTGAGCATTCTAGCATGCCCTGAACCTTGACATCAGACACTTAAGCTCATGGTTAATGCTGATGGTTAGCACTGATAACCAAACCTGCCTTTCTTTGGGATGGAAGGGGCAAGGAGCAGGTGTGGAAGAAGATTGGCAGCACCATGTGCTGGCACCACACGTGTTGGACATAGTGCTCAGGAAAGGCTGTGCAAACACATTGTGCATCCATAGAGAGCCTTGTGCCTGTTATTCCCTCCCCACCTCAGGTAATGGCCATGTCATCACAGGCAGTAGGATCTGGGGACCTTGGGAGATCTCTGGACTGAAATTGTCCTTCAGCTCTGTGCTGCTGCAACTGAGCCAGCTGCAGGTTTTCATTCTGGGATCTCGTAGGGCCAGCACCACTGGAGAGGAAGAAATGCTTGTCTGACTGATAGCAGCTCCTACACCCTGGTGTGACCAGAGAACCTCAACTAGATGGGTAAAATTCCTGTTTATGAGCCCACTTCTTCAGAACAAGCAGGTGAAAATGGAGAGGAAAAGAGAACATCCTGCTTCTCTGGAGAAGTTTATTTTAGTTTTCATTTTAATGACCTGTGTTTACCACTTGGGACTTTGGGACTCATGAGTGATATGACTGAGCCTGAGCAATAAAAGATGAAGTTAGTAGTTGAGTTTTTTACAAGTAGAAGATGTGGGGAGGTAGCAGTTTGCACTCCAAAGGGTATGAAAGGTGAAACAAACCCAAAAAAGGGCGCTAGCACAGAAAAATTGCCAAAGTGCAGGTAGTCACAATGTTAGAGCTGCATGGTATCATGTTTTTTTTTTTTTTAATGTTTAATCTCACACCACAAGGCTCTGCTTTTTCCAGGTGATATTTACCTATGAAAGTCCTCACCAGAGCATTTTGGAGGTCCTATCTTGAACCCTTTTGTTTCATGAAATAGGCCAGGGGCAAAAGGAAGCATTCTCCAGGGAGCTGGTGGTGGTGAAGTGCCTGGCTGGGCATTGCAGAGTGCTGCAAATTGAGGACATAAGCAAGAGGCTGGTACTTGATTTGTTGCAAATGTTGGAGCTGGAAGCAGAGTAGAGGTCTCATAAGCTATGAAAGCTGTATATGCCTTTAATACATAAACAGAGCATTTTGCAGTCCTGAAAAGTCTTATTTAGGGTGATGCTGCTGTGACAGCTGCTAGTGACTTTTTACCATGTCCCTACTCTTGCATCCCTGCAGTATTTCCCACTGGCAATTGTGGGTTTGTATGTTGCTGCTTTTGAAGAGGATTTGATTGTAAAATATAACATGTTAATCATGCTGTGCAACACTCTGATGTACTTTATAGCTAACTCAAGTGATGAAAAGGCACTTTATCACATTCTCTACTGGCGTTTTTTCCACAGAGTCTAATAACTAAATCGACTATAAATTCAGTGTGGTTTAGTTTTTCTGTTGTAAATCCTCTCTGCCCTCCTTTTTTAATAAGCAAATCAAAAGACAGCTCTGATGAATGTTGTCGTGGACTCATCTTTTTCTACTTCTCATGCTGAAGGGGATATTAATTTCTAATTTTATTCATGCTATTCTGTTTTTAATTTCATTAACTCTTTCAGTACTCATTCTTCTTTACTTTAAAACTAGAAATTCCCAATGACAAAACGTCAATGGCTTTTTGGTTATATTCAGTGGGTGGAACTTCCTGGACAAATGCATCTTGTATTTGGCAATCACACTTTAACTGCTGCTCTGTGGCATACTGTGTTTTTAATTAGATAAGATGAAAGACTAATGCACTGTGGTGTGTCATGCCGTGGTGTTATCAGTCCCACAGATAAGCACATTCCCACTGATAGCATTTGGGAGATGACGTTTGCTCAAGGCAGGACGAGCACCCGTCTGTGTGACGGCATTGTGTTGTGAGAGTGTCCTTGCCAAGGGGAAGGCTGTAAAGAACATGTTTACAGAAGTCTAGGATCCTGTCCTGGTGCCTGCCTCCTAATTCCTAGTGAGCAGCATGCAAAATTAACATCAACAGGCCATTGAAAGTAAGTTCTGCAGAACTCATTAGTTCACAATTGGACTGATTTCAAACTCGGAGATAGTGAATGCGGGATGGGGCTTTTTGCCCAGTTTAAGTCCCTGTGGCTGCTCAACAGTTCTGTGTCATTCAAATACAGTAATTTAGGAAAATGGAAGTGTGCCTAAAGATTGAGAATAGTTGATTGGTATGAAGGGATGAGAGGATTTAAGGAATTTGGATTTTTTAAAAGATTTTTGGATCGTGTCACAAACAGGATTTTGATAGGATTTGTAGATTTGTTTTTGGCTGTGTGTAATTCATGCAGATTTCAGGGAGACAGATTTTTGTCGTCTATTGTTTCTACCAGCATTTTAGTTCACTAAGGAGAATTGGGAAAGGAAGTTATATAGGATGCCTTACAACTTTTTTAGATGCATTTTATCTGTTTTTAGAATAGATTTTTACTTCTATTTACTGTGAGGTTACTTAATGGCATTACCACAGTTTAGCATGGCCTTAGGCGACCTTTGCTGCTGGCCTTAATGTGGTATTTTGGCAGATTAGTAGTGAACGGCATTAATTAGGCCTTCCTGAAAAGTTTGCAGGGCGTTTGGTCTGATGTCTCAGTTTTGCTTCAAGCCTCCCTCTTGTTTGTCAGGGAGTGTTGGTGAATTACTGCAGGGTTCTCCACTCTCCATCACTTGTCTGGCAAACCTGCTTTTTTGTGGAGGCAGCCCACCATAGCATACTGTGATATTCCTGATTGATCTTCTCATTGGCAATACTAGTGATGGGTAAACCTTAGCAGCCAGGGACAGTGGGAGCTCTGCTCAATATAGCCATTGTGCTTCAGCTAGTGGTAAGCAGGGGGTGCTTCTTAATTAGGAATTAATATTCAAATGCTTCTGGGAATAAAAAAAAAATCACATTCCAGCCTCTTTGGGTCACAAAATGTCAGTCTGATAATGGCACCCACATCTCTGACTTTACTTACTGTCGGGGGAGAAAAAAACAGATTTATCTCTGAACAAACTTAGTTATTTTTGTTTTTTCTCAGTCTGTGTGATTGTAATTAATATTAAGACACTCTGTAAAACAAGGAATTTATTATAATGCAAGAGTGAGGATGGCTTCTATTGACCTTTCCCTCTGCTGGAGTTTCAGTGTTTTAGTATGTGCTGCTTGCACTGGAAAGAATTTATAATCACAGGGCTGTCAAAGACAACCATTGTTCTCCCTGCTCTGAACATGTGGGTCAGCTACAAGTGCTTTCATATCCCCCAGAGCCAGGAGCTGGCAAAGAGTAAAGAGCACAACTGAATTCTTCTGAGGCATCGGGAAAAGCATTTTGCATATTTTTCATTGCTGATTGCTTGAGAAAGACATCCCTCTTTCATAACAGGAATTTCTCTTCAAGGTAGACGGAGGCTGGGGCACACTGCTTTATTATTTTGCCGAGCTGAAGCAGCAACAACAAATGCTGTCTGCTGGGGTCCTGGCCAGATACAATAGATGGGCAAGGAGAGGCGGGGGGATCTTTTGGAAAGCAGCAAACTTAAACCTGATGCAGGCACGATGTTAAAATTGTAGTGCCTTTGGCTGTGCTATGGACTGTGGACGACAAGTCAAGTTTCAGGTTACTTTCACTTTTGATCAGTTTATTAACTGGTCTATTGGAACTTTTTCTCAGTTCATTGTACTAATCTAATGAGAGTAGTTTCCTCTTAAACAGCATAAAACTAGTTTATTGCAAGCTTGCACTTTGTTTTGAAGGGAAGAAGGGGCAAAAAACCAAGGAAACCCTTTTTTGGGGAGGAGATTTTTAGTATTTGGGAAGATGCTTTGTTTTTTGGTGTGTAACGCATCTCATGAGTATGTCAGTGCCTTCTTTCTGAGGAGGTTCCTGCTGTATTTCCACGTAGGAAACAGAGGATATTGAGAGCCCCAAGCGCAGCATTCGTGACAGCGGCTACATAGACTGCTGGGACTCGGAGCGCAGCGATTCCCTCTCCCCGCCTCGCCACGGCAGAGATGATTCCTTCGACAGCCTGGACTCCTTTGGCTCCCGCTCGCAGCAGACACCGTCTCCAGATGTAGTGCTCAGAGGGAGTAGTGATGGTGAGTACCAGTCACAGTGCAGCACATGCACAACACTGTGACATAGAAGAAGCGTTTCTGGAATAAATGTGCCATTCAGAAGCTGCTCACAGCCTCTGAATCGGGCAAATCTGCTGGGAGAACTTCTCTGTGAATGCTGATCTGTGCTCCCTGAGGTGTAGATGACTTTGCCAACAGCTTACCTGAAGTTTGTCTCAAGGCAGTGCAGCACTGGGAAATGAGTTACATCATTGCAGTGTGGTTTTATGAAGGGAAGAGTGTTTTTCTGGGTTTTGGTGTAAGAGGACATTATGCAGACTCATTTTAACTTACAAACTAGGCTGAAGCAAGACATAAAATTACAGGAACAGGTTATAGTGAATTATAGTAAATAAAATGTTTGCCGAAGTAAATACAGGGCAGATAAATGACAAATATCTTGAGAATGTCTGATACTTGGCAGAGTTTTGAGTGCTGATGTACAGCACTTTATCAAATATCATATATCTTTTTATGGCATTTAGAAAATTGGGTAAATTAATACATCCCAGCATCAGAGCTTTGTACACATTTGTGAGAGGACAGGCAGCTCTGGGCATACAGAATGGCTACTGCTTCTCTGCCTTTGTTTTCTGATTCCAAGAGGTTTTCAGAGGCTTGTAAACACAGCATGCTGGATGAAGAAGGATTTGCTATTATAGGTTTGGAGCACACATTTAGGTAACCTGTCATGAGTAGCATTTTGGTATAGAACAAAAGGATGAATGATGGAGGCTCTTTCTGTGCAGTTGCGTTCCTGATAAACAGATGAATAAGTCGGTCTTCATCAGATGAAGTTATGTTGCACACTTGAATCACTTCTCCTTAGTAATTTTTTTTTTTTTTTAATTTAAAAAGGAAAGGCAGGAAGATTTTTTTGGTAGGAACCAGATGTTCATACTGCTTTTGGCAGTTTGAAAGTTTGTTGTCCGGTTTAATCATAACCGGACACATGAAAAATTTCCTGAGGTGATGGGGAACTCCTTAGAACTGGAAAGCTGGCAGGGAGAGCTGGCATCACAGTAGAATTATGAAAGAGCCCTGGGAAAATCAGAGCTAAGATCGGCTCTGCTGCTCTGAGTAGCCTGTGGTGTTTCGGCTGTTACTGTTTGACCATCCAGAACTAGCTACTGGGGCTGATTCCCTCAAACAGCCTCATGGCCCCTCAGACACTGAGCAGAGCACAGATTCCACGTTATAAAATATATATATATAAATATATAAAAGGCTTTTTTGCCTTCTCAAACGAGACAAGCATGGTGTTGGCAAATAGGAACACCTCACACGTCCTAATCAAAAATTAGACCCTAGGTGCTCAAGGGATGTCCAGTGTCTGTGCTCTTGGAGCTGCTGGACAGCCAGTTACATATGTCCTGTAGATGATTCCTGTCAACTTCTGTCGGATTATCAGATGTTAGAAAGGTTTTGTGATTGTTTGCTAAGACATTCTATCTTGTCACAATCCTGAGTCTGTAACAAACAATAACAAGATGAAAGCTCACAAAGCTTGTTCTGACAAAATAGTCTTTAACCAGGGTGCGTGCGGATGCTGTGTGCACATGTACGACTTGTCCAGCCAACACTTTCTAATTTGTCCTATTTTCCCTGCTTACTACTGCCATAATTTCACAGCTGTCTCCTACAGCAGCTGCAGGTGAGGTGTAACTTGGCTGACCTCTTTTATGTTGAACCTCTTCCTGTGGTCCCAGCAGGCCAGTGTTTTACTCAGCTGTTAGTAGTTTTTGATAGAAACAGTATATTGGACTCGATGATCTTAGAGGTCTTTTCCAACCTAAACAATTCTCTTATTCTATATGCAAAGTTGGATGGAGGAAAACATTTTGCTTTCATTACTTCTTTCTCCATTCAAATAGGAGCTTTATAAACCACATAATATTGTTGTGAACTAGAACTACGATTTCTTCCACTCTTAGAAGAAATAAAAGCCTGAATAGACATGACTTAAGTGATGCTAAGGTGACTAGTTTAGGTAGAAGCCGTATGTAATATTACCTTCACAAATGCCATCTGTGATTAGTTTCATTGTTGAGGAACTGCTCTGGTGTCCCATGGAGAGCTTGTCCCTTAGCAAAAAAACAAGACCAGTGGTAGAGTAGAACAGTTATTTAAAACACAGTAGAATCACAGACTGAACTGCCTTTAGAGTTGCCAGTTAATAAAATGCTCTGTTTGGCCAGCAGTTGTGTGTGGATCCTTTTAAGAAAGATCTTTGCATGTCTATAGTGTATAATTGCTTGTTACTAGTTGTGGAAACTGCTGCTGCATCTACTTGAAAAAGCAAAACAACAAACTTTAGGTTTTAAATGTAGAGCACAGCTGCATCTTCCATTTAGTACTTTGGCTTCAAGTACTCTTTTTGCAAATTTGAGCTGAAAATAATTTCATGAGTAAGATGTGAATAATTAAAGAAGCTGTTTTTCTTTGAAGTACTCAGCTTGGGGATGCTGGTAGGCACATCAGCAACAAGAGGAATGTGTTCTAATTCCTCTGCTACTGTGGTTATCTATTTCATCCTTTCTGTCTGCCAGTTCAAGACTGGTTTTGATGTGTTACAAAAATAGACACCAGAGCAAAGTCAAAAGCAATCAGAATAGCAAATAGCAAGTAAGGGATCTTTTTCTTCTCTTTTACTTACTCTGTGCCCTGATTTGTCTAATGACACTACAGCCCTTCCAACCTCAGCTGTCCTCAGACACCCATGATTCTGTGATCGTCTCTCCACTTTTTGTTTAGATATAGATTCAGGGTACCAATTGTGGTGTTAGTTGTCAAAGTTCTTAATAAAAATTGTTCAAGTGAAAGATTACTGACAAAAAATGTATTGTGATGTCTAACATTCATTTCTATTGTCATCTTTTCCTACTGTTCCTTTTCACTCTTCTTCGTCTCTCTCCAAGAAAATCATGAAAAACTCAATCTACTGCAAAAGCTCTTTGCAAAAAACATTCCTAGCATATTTAGACCTCTTTTCTTCCCCCACTTTGAATTATACACAAACTACTTGTGATTTTTGTGACTTCATTGTTTTCACTTTTTCAGTATGTAGCACAGTGAATTACCTGTTAATTACTAATGTTTTGAATTAACAAGAGGACACAACCTGAGTGGCTTCTCTTCACCCTAAAAGGGGGAACAGCTAATTGCAGATGCAAGTGCTGCAAAGGGGGCAAGAACCAGAGACATCTAACTCTCCAGAACTTGGAGAACATGCAAATGCTGATGGGACAAATAGCTGAACACATTCCATTTCACTCTTCAAATCAGGGCCCATTATAAGGTTATACTGCTGGGAGAAAACTATTTACATAACTTCTTTGTGAATTATTTTAAATGGCTTATGACAATGCAGGGAATCTAAGCTTCCAAAATGGGAAGTTCCACACTGCTAATGCTCTTTAGGGCGTCTCTCCTACAATTTGGGAATTTCAAGTCAGAAACTTGCCTAAGTTTCAGCGTTCTAAATGCATTGTAAATATCAGGAAGTTTAGTTCATTTGAACAATATCAAGTGGTCACCCAGCTCTGCTGTCCTCGCATCTTATTCTCTCAAACTCTCAATTTTTTTCTCTGCCAGTTTATTTCTTTGCTGTACTGATCTAACATCTAAATCCTGAGATCACTTCCCTCTGCCCTTGCACCTTTCCATCTGGGTATCAAGTCTCTGTCTGTTTTGCAGTGTGCTAGACTGATTGGCTAGGCAACCAGTGAGACTGGAGAGAGACCATTGAGCCTTCTGGTTCACAGCAGCAGCTGCTGCTCTCAGGTCTTGACTGAAGCTGATGCTGTCTGTGTTCAAATTCCTTTGTTAATGTGTGTGTAGGAACATCCACATATTCCTGCCATTCTGTAGCTATACAACATGGAATTTTTTTTTTTTTTTTTTGTTTCTGCTTGAGTTAGGTACCTATTAGTCTAGGTTCAAGACTGTAAATCAGATCAGACATGCCCTCATGTACAACTAGGAGTTATCTGGGCTTTAGGCTAACTTCTGCCCTACCTGATTGACAAGTCTGGCTTAGTTTTAACCTCAGGTTTTTTGATGTGGCCTGTGGTTGAAGATGATTTTTTCAGGGAATGATAGAAAAAAGTTCACTGTCTGTGCAGATGTTGTGGCTACTGCCTTCAGTGACTGATTTTAAAATACAAATGCAGGTAACAGTGGCTAAATATAATTTTTTGGTGGCATCTTCTCTGATTTATAGTTTAAAAATAACCCAAACAACTGGATGAAAGTGAAAATAAAAAGGAAATTTTTTTCTCCTTCCTCACTAGGGAGAGGAAGTGACTCAGAAACTGACCTGCCACACAGAAAGATGCCAGATGTGAAAAAAGATGATATGTTGGCGAGGCGGACCTCACATGGTGAACCTAAATCAGCTGTGCCTTTTAACCAGTACCTCCCAAACAAGAGTAATCAGACTTTCTATGTACCTGCTCCGCTTCGGAAGAAGAAAGCTGAACGGGAGGAGTACCGAAAGAGCTGGAGCACGGCGACGTCCCCGCTGGGAGACAGACCCTTCAGGTAAGGCTGGCCTGTCCACATCCTCCTCCCCTCACTGATGGATGGTGCTCTAACACTTGCCCAGTTTCCATTCTTTCCACAAGGTGTATGATGCTGTAATAAATCTCTTGCTGGTGTGGTACTAATAAGTAGTGTTTAGCAAATGGTGAGGCTAATAGAAAAGCATGAAGTGGAAAATCATTGTTATGATGTTATTATTTACCATACAATGCAATGTATCGATTCTGTTTGACAAGATACTGGTTAATGTAAGTAATGTGGATGTTTGGCTCAAACCCAAGGCTGGAAAAAGTTGTTCTGGACAATCTGTTTTAGTTCTAAGACAATTACTGACAAATGACAATTAAAAGTAATGTTTTATATGTTTAATCAAAATATATAATATTTCTGCTGTGGGTTTTTTGTAGAATAAATGTATTTGTATGTTGTATTTAATACACCAGTATGGTTTATATAGCTGTGACTCTGCATGTTGGTTTTGTCAACTAATACTTCAGTTTTGATTTGGACTAAGAAACAACCTCCTTTAAAGAGCATAATTATCTTCCCTGATTATTCATCAGAATTCATCCTTTGGCATCTTGACTTCAGCAAAATGTGCTTGTAAGTGTGTATGTTTTAAGCACAGCCTACATTAAACTGCCTTGTATAATTAATAGCAAACCCCACCCTGAAACCATAGAAGAAGAACTGAATGAAACATCAGGACTGTGTGAAAAAGAGAAAGTGGGCTCCATGGCTCCTGAAGCAAGCTCCCTTAAAAATCAATTAGGTGTGAATCAAAGTGAAGAAAACTCCACAGACCAGTCTCCTTCATGTAGTGCAAAGGAAACATCAGCACCCAAGGGGAAAGATGTGGAAGAGATCAGAAAGTTAAGAAGACTGGAACAAGCTGGCATTAAGGTCATGTCAGCAGCCCAGCGCTACGGCAGGTTAGCCCAGCAGTGTGGGAAATCGTGCACGCTTCACTTTTGTAGGATTGCCAGAAGTGTGGGCTTCCTTGATCCACTGTGATTTCACTTCTCCTAACAAAAATCCAGTCTGCTAAGCACTCACAATTGCTAGTGAAGGTCTTGGTTTGAAAAAGCTTGTGATGTGGCAGCTGTGGATTGCAGAGTTGTATGATGCTGACTGCATTTGTGTTGAGAAATTGTATTGTCTTACAACATAATGTAAACAGGCTCCAGGAGAACTACTACACAGACTACTTGTCACCTTCCACTTAATGCTTTCTTGCATTTAATACAACTATATAGAAATCTATATTAAATGCCTAGTTTAGGTAAAAGTTTCAGAAATTAACCTTGCTTGTTGCTGGTGGGATGGTTTTGTTTACTGAACCACACTTTTTAGGTGGCTGATATTTTTAGCTATGTTAGTAAATGATGCATTTATTTTTAATGGCAGGAACTATAAAAGCACTGTGCTTATTAACACATATACCAGTTTAAATACATTCAGCAAACATAATTTGCCTGACTTTAGAATATAATATATGTAGTTATTTACTTATTACCTATGTTATTTATTTTTGGATGTTGTTCAATTTGGATATTTCCTATTCTTTAACTTGAGAGCTGAATGATGGCTAGGTTCACAGCCCATGCCTTTCCATCATCTCAATCTCTTCTACTCATGGGGATGACCTGCAAAGGAGAGTTTTAGCTAACATGTCAGAAGATAAGGCACTTATAAACAATCAAAATGGCTTGGCTAAAGGGTAAGCATCCAAATGTCCTCCTGTCCAAAACATTTTGGTTTGGATTGTGGGGTGAAATCCTACCAGTGAGCAGTTTATCAGTTGCTGGTCTACAGTCTGGGCTTTGAAATGTATTAGGAAGAAATGCAGCTTGCATGTGGTGCAGTTTATTCATAGGTGCAGTGAAGCTGGTGTGCAGCCATATGCAGATGAAACAGTCACAGAATATGTGCTGTCACATGTCCCCTTCTCAGGTCTACTTCAGTGTTGTTGACCTGTACTGAACCAGTGTTTATGTCTGGCTGTGGGGTATTACTTTTGACATGATGAGGGGCTGTCTGGCATAAATGAGTTCTTCAGCCTCACTCAGTGTGCTAATCTATTGGGATTCCATAAACCAGAGGGGCATTAGCATAATCTATTCTGAGTCCAAGGCTGTAGTATTAATGGTAGTAATGTGGTAATATGTAGTAAAATGCAGTCATTGCTTGTGTTTAGCAGTGCAGTGCATAACAAATAGCTCTGTTTGCATTTGGAGGATACTCACCATGTTGAGAGACACTTTTCCAACTCTGTGCTTGATCTGTTTTGATGTCCACAAAGGAGAAGGATGTGTGAACAAATGTGTGGTTCTCTCCTTGGACAATCTCTTGTCCTTACAGCCCTTATGGAGAAGGGAGGAGAAATAACAATTAATTTTTCTTCCTTGCTCTCAGTGGAAACGACTTGTGGAATTTGGCAGCTGGAAAGAAGGAGGAGATGATAGTTTTCTCTTCCAGCTAAGGGTCAAAGAGCAGAGCTTTGTAACCCAAGCATCACTGTAGCAAAGTAAGAGCTTGCTTCTAAGGATTGTAGGAAGAAACAGCAGAAAAGGCACAGAGGACAGAAGTCTGTAAGGAAAATTCTTTGTATGTGAAAGTGGAAGAATAGTGGATGAGGAGAAAGGAAGAATTTAGTAGTGACACTTTAGGGTACATTTAACCATATTTCTTAATGTCTTATTATTCTTCTCTGAACATCTCTATTTTATCTCTCTTCTTGGCATCAAGTTCAATTTTCCACGCACTAATGGCATTCAGCAATTCTCAGACTCTCTTGTTTCTGTATTCTGATTTTTTTCTTTCACCTTTCTTACTCCCTCATCTTTCTCTGATACCAGCCTCTCTTTTGTTTTTTCACCTGAGGTTGTCAGTTTTATTTTAGTTCCTTTGAGTTGTTTGCAGGCTGTTTCCTCTCAACTTAATGACCTCTGGAGGACACCTACTGTGACTTTTGAGTTCTACAATGCATCTAATTGTTCCTAAAGCTTAAACTCAGTAGGGGACTTTTCTGAGTCCTGAACAGGAAAGATTTGAACTTGTATGCAAATTATTTTTTGCTTGAAGTCCAAGGGCCTGTCTCCATTGCTGTAGCCTGTTCTAGGAAAGAGCTCCTTTAGTTAGCTGAATTAGATACTATACAAATGCATGCTAAAAAGTAATTCCCCTTCCCAAAAGAGTGAATTGTCTCTGTTGCATGTTGTTTTATTGATATGTGATCTTCCTTGCTTGCTTATTGCCTGCACATCTGTCTCTTAATTACTGTATTGTATATGAAAGGTAGGGATCACATTTATGGAGATTCACATTTATGGAGATACCCTGAAAAGAAATTAAGTGTGTTTAAAAAGATGGTGGAGAGGAGAATTTAAGAGAGAAATGTGAGCAAGCTTTTATGATATGTTCATTGGAAAATAACATGCGCTCTTACCTTGACAGAGCATAGGGATCCAAAATCCTCCCATTGTTCGGAAATGCAATATAAGGATCCACAAGCCTGTATGAGACCTTGCTTCAGGTGTGCAAATGCCTGCAAGTTTGGAAACACCTGCTGTACCAGCCTTTACCCATTTACTGTTTCTGCAACGGCTGGGGCTGGGTGTGCAAGAGCAATTTGCAGCTAAATCTACTATTTAGTATTTGTTATCTATACCATGGTAAACTGACCTTAAAAAAATACTTTTGAGACCATCATAAACTGTTTCAGAAGACCCTAAAATGTCACAGCTAGTCTTTGATTCCATGAAAAAAATAGTAAATGAATGGAAAATATTCTCAACCTAGAAAGTGATTACTGAAGTCTCATTACATACTAAAAGCCATAAGTTTCATATTGCAATGACTCATAGTTGCACTTTTGAGTACTATAACTCAGTATTTCTTTGTTGCCAAAAACACTACTCTCAGAAATGCTACATTTGATGCTCTCAAGCTTTGCTGCTGTTGGTGGACATGAGACTGAAAAATCCAGCAGTTCTTATTCAATAATTGCTTGGTGGGCCAGCTGTTTCTGAAGCTGTTGTGAGCACAAATATTCATGAGGAAAGGAGACAGCAGTTCCCATGTGGAATGCTACTGGCCAGTGTTGTTCTGTTGCCCTAAGTGAAATTTTGATCCTTCAGAGAGATCTAAGGAAAAATTTGCCTTTAGCTAATTTGAGACCGTACTCTCCACATCACTAACAGGGGATCCTGTGTTTTGCAGCATAAGAAGGCAAAGGCAGACAGTTTAGTGTGTCCTCTGAGCCTGAGCCAGGCTGCTGTGCCAGGGATGGTTTATGGCTTCCCCATCATTTTCTCCAGCAACTTTGTGGAGCAGTACTTTCAAAGGGCAGCTGAGTCTGTAAAATAAGTGGTACATGTAGTGGGCTTGCAGGGTTTTAACATGTTTTAAATGCTTTTAAAAAGCAATCTTTACATTTAAGATAGTAGAGAGACTCAGAGCAACCCCTGAGCTATTTAGATTTGCTTTCTTAATGCCAGTTCTGTTTAATCCTTTGTGATCCCCTCTATTTTACTTTGTATAGCAAGGTGTGCTACATGATAGAGCAAATGCCTACAAAAGTACTGGATGGAACAGTTCTTGCTGCCCAACTTCCTAAAATATCAATATGAACAATTATATTTTTAAATGTGAGAGTTGCCTAGCTCCTGCCATCTGTCTTTTCAGTTTTCCTAAGAGTATTGACCCTTACAAGTTAAAATAAGCTTAATCTTTATGGGTACCAGCTGTCAAGTGTCTTTACTGTCATAATCTTCAGTAATAGCAAGGCTGTGTTGATAGCAGTTGTGTTTCTGATGAAGGCAGGTGGCAATATTTTCTGGCATGCCAATATCACTGGTGTGCTATCATTGCAGCTACTGTATGTCAGCTGGCACAGAGGCAGAGAGGGCTTATTCTGTGGGAAAGGAAATGTTAATTAGGAAGAGAATCAATCAAGGTGCGTGTGAGAAGACAGCAGTTAAGAAAACTAGGGTAGTCAGCCTCCATGATTACTCGGATGGGTTTTTGGTTTTGTTTTTTTTAATGGACCTATTAAGAAAAATGCAAAATATCTGATATTTTAAGACTCAACAGCATGTGCCAGGGATCTGATATTTGCATCACATTTCTTCCTTTGTTTGAAGTGCTCAAGAAGTTTAATACTGCCAGTTATGGTAATACATTCCCTGCATCTTGTATGCTAAAATTTGTTCTTACTGGTTCTTCCAGCTATAGCTAAAATAAGTAAAGGTCCAACATGCTGACATTTTTATGCACAGTCTTTGTGGATTTGCTACTTTATATGATAAGTTTTATTTCTAGCTAGGCTTTGTCCAATCTAACAGCAGCTTGGAGCATATTTGATTACCTGTGCTGTTTTTTTTGACCTGGACGTGATGCTGCACTGCCCTCTCCTCCTCTGGTGCATCAAGAGCTTTATTTACTTTTGCTCTGTATCAGTAAAAAGCCAATATGTGAAGACAGTGGAAGCACCCCAGACATCATCCTTCGCAAGGACAACCCCTTCATGACACATTATCAAGGAAAGGATTCTGGTTCAGAAGATGAAGCAGCCAGCAGAGTTCCTGATTTAGAAAAGGATGACTTTGCCACCCGGAGAGCCAGAATGAATCAACCCAAGCACATAGTTCCATTTAACTCCTTTTTAATTGGACCCTATACAAGTAAAGAGAAAGGTAAACCAGAAGATGTTAAAAAGCCGTTGCAGATGGAAAAAAAGGAACATGCAAGGTGTGCATTCATGGTCTTATTCTTTCAATTATAATGCTTAATTTCACCATGCTGTATTGCTGTATAGGCCTAAAGCTGTCTTGGCTACAAAAAATACCCTACAGGTTAAAGTAAATGCTAAAGCTTATCATAAAGTGAACCAAACAATTTTTGTTACAGTACGAGAAGTGTTAATTAGTTGGGAGTGTAAATAAGATTTTGTTATCTAAGATCATGAGATAGGTCATGAGTGTGAGTAGTGGAGAATAAACTTAGAAAATATGTTTTGCATCTCAGCACTTTTTCAGATCACTTTCAGTGCATGTTTTTTGATGCATTTCTTTCATCTTATACTCTATTAATACCCTGCATGAAACACAGACCAGATGAGTCTTTAGTGAAGGCACTGGATATATATGCCTGCTACACTGCACTGAATTATGTTGCACCTGGTTCTAATGTGTGTTATGCAGCATTGGTTTGGGAAATGGATCAGGGGTTGCAAGGCTTCAGCCTAGAAAATCTCTTCTTTCTTCAGCTCAGTGATACAGACGTTTAAGAAGCTGCTGAACACAAATATTTGCTGGGTAGAGATCTTTCTCAGAAAACTATTTTATTTGGGCAAACAGATGTGATTCTAGATAAAACCATTATATAAACATTACAGGGAACCCTGACTGTAATAACTGATATGTTCTGAAAACTTCTTCTAATATTTAAGAGCTCTTTTCAATTTTCAAATGTCAAATGTGTCATTCAGTTGCTGGCAATTTGATTATATTAACATTTTCTAATGACTAGTTTGACAGGGCATCTGATGAGCACCTAACCAAATCTTAATTGTCCACTGCTTTTGACATGACTCTTAAGATCAAAGAAATTGAGTAGTATGTTTGAGAGCAAAACCTGAATTTACTGTGTGAATAATATTCAAATAAGATATTTGTAACTATTTAAGAGAAAGCTTATTGCAGAAATGCTTAATTCAGTAATAACAAAGATTTTTCTTACTTGAGCTGGGAATAGAAGTTCATGTGAAGAAGTGGTCTCAGTAGTGCATGAATGGGGTAGCATAGCTGAGAGGTTTGAACTTCAAATGATTCATTCCATGTTTATTTCCTAAAATTAATGTGAAACTAATATTATAAATTCACTTTTATCTTCTTGAGCTCTGAATCTCTTCTTTTGGCATTGATTTATAATTGCTTCCTCAAAATATCTTTCCTTGCTGAACTGGAACGTGCATTAAATTAGAAGAAGACGGGTGCACGTGACATCAGTAAGGCAAACAGTTACAAGCAAAGAGAACCCACCCCTACAAAATGAGAAGACTGAGTCAGAGGAGGAACAGCAGGTGAAAGAGCTTGATAATGAGAGAGATGATTTGGCAAAACGGAAATTGATGCAATCTCAAAGCCTCCTTCCTCAGCTACAAGATGATGTGCTTTTTGCCAATGCCTCTATAACAAGAGCAGATCTGGAGACCTGGAAAAGATTGAAACTGTCAGGGGACCCCAGGTATGGTTTCTGCTTGTGGGCAGGATTGGCAGGCTGGGAAGCATGTTTAGTTTGCCACAACCTGCTGTGTGTGCTTGTGACTTTACACTTGAAGAATGCCTTGTTGACAACCAGTCCTTCCCTATTTCCATTTGCAGGAGGAGTCCAAAAATCTGTACAGATATGCTATCTGTCATGAAATGAAAGTGTGTCCATCATTTAGAGCACTATAGTAGTTTCACAGTCACTTTTCTTGTAGATACTCAGTATCAGGAAGGTCCGTCTGTCACTGGCTGAATTTACTTGGAAGCTGCCTGAAGTTGAACAGTACAAATTTCCAAGTGGTACCATTAATACACTAGCAGCTACATTGCTCCTTACCAAGCTGTCTTCAGGTCTTGGGGTGTTTTATACCTTGGGATTATTACCTGAGGATCAGCATCTTCACATTAACGTCTCTGTGCTATTTTGAGACCTGAGCTGACACATCAGCACAACATTGTGCTCCAGTGCTGTGCAAATACACCACCACTGTTTCTCATTGCAGCAGGGCTTTCAGGAGCCTCACTATATGGTGTTTGTATGCTCTTGTTGTTAACAAAACCCCTACAAAGGGAGCTACAAAGCAGCTATTCTAAGCTGTTTCCCTGTGGAGATGGTCTATAACCTAGGCAGGTGATTTGTGGCTCCTGTAGGGAAGGATAACAACCCCTAGCCTTCCTGTTTAGGTGCATGCCATTTTGCAATCAAAGATGGCTGTCTGTTCTGGCATTCTTCTAACACTGTGGTTATTGTACATAATTTTAGTTCAAATAAATCAAAACTCAATCAATCTTTCATCTTGAAGATACTAGTAATCTCTCTGTTACTTTTGAGGTGATTTATTAAAATCAGGATTCAGTCTGCTTTGTTTATGGTAAGTGAATTGCCCTTGCTAGTGCTCCCACGTCACTGTCACTACCTTGTGCCAAAGTGTGTTCTAGTGCCTTACAGTCACATATAATGTGGGGTCTGAGTGTGCGTGAGCAGATAAGGAAACTGTGGCTTTGTTAGGGTGAAGAACTGAATTTGGAACAGGCCATATGCTCCATTCCTTGCCCTTAGGAAGTGCTTCCATGGATGTACTCCCCAAGTTTTCCCCACAGGTTTGCAGTGTCTGCATTTCATATGTCATTTGGGACTGAGTATGCCACAGCTGTTTATACCTGTGTCCTTGAACTTTAAAATAAAACCCCTTCAAAACCTTAGGAACATTTTTTTTATTCTGAGGGTCTCATGTTGGGGGCATTCTTTTATTCCTCATTATGACCAGTGAAGAAGATTTCAGATGTTCCAGCAACCCTCTGCCACCAGCTGATACCACAGTGAAAGCAGTAGCCCATGATGATTTTGCTGTCCGCAAAACCAGAGCAAACAAAAAGGCTGGTGGCCCCAAGCAGAAGTTTGTGCATTTTGGGCCAGTAACTGAGATTGATCAACAGAAATGGGACAAGCTTGTAATTGGCAGAGCTTCATCCAAGAGTGGAACAGAAGAGGAAAGCAAGAAAGATGGTGTGGAAACTCTCTCTGGTGTTGAAAGCTCTTCTTCAAACACTGCTGTCAGTCTTGGTCTGGCTGAATACAGCAGTGGAGTATCTGAGCCAGAAAATGAGTCCAGGTATTTGGTGTGGTTTAGGCAGTGCTACTGAGCTGTAAATGAGACCTGTTCTCACCAGATGCTGATCTGCATGGGAGTGAACTGCAGCATAAACCCAAGAGCTGTTTACATGCACGGCCTCATTCAGAAGACATCTGATGTCTTCAGAGTATCTTAACACATTTAGAATGGCGCAAAACGCTGTGCACAGGTCTTGCGAACGCTTGCTCGTAATTTCTGATGGGCAGTGAAGTCACTGGTATCTCAGAGGCTGAGCTATCATTCATGATTTTTTCTGCTGCTTCAATTCCAGCAGCTTTGCTCTGCTTGCTTTCAGCACATTAGGAATTTGTCATTCAGTTTGCTGGCCTTACTGATCTTCAAAAAAGGTTCTTTTCAAACCTAATGGATTTACTTTCTTTTTGAAGATGGTGTACTGCTGCTCTCTGTTTCTGGCATTTATCTGGAGAAGAATTGTCTGGGTTGTTAACATATTAACAGATCTTATATTTCTTTGGCATTTCTTTGATCACTTAGTCTGTGGCTGCAGCAAGAACTTTTAGTGAATGCTTTTAGCAAGCAATTCATTCAGCTAAGTTTGTGTGTTTATAAAACATTTGCAAACCGAGTTAGATTACTCCTTTTCTTACCTTTCATTTGACCTGAGAACATTTTGTCTGTCTCACCCTTCCTCTCATTCTCATCACTAGTGAGGGAGGAGTCAAGTCAGGTACAGATGACTCTTGCAGGAGAACTCCATCTCCTGTACCAGTTTCTGATGTCATCTCTGAGGAACAAACCCCATGGAGATTGAGCAAACAGCAAGAAAGTGCCAAGGAAGAATGTGACAGGAATTTACCAGATATTGAGAGAGATGATATGTTGGTTAGAAGGATGGGAACTTTTTCAAGGCGTACCACAAGCTCCATTCCCGTAAATTGTCCTCCCCTGTCAGTAGCTCCTTATCTGCCACAGCAGCAGCAAGAGGAGGCTGTAGCTCGTGAAAAGGATTTGAAGACTCTGCAGGAAGGAGAAAGGTCAGAGAACAGCAGCAGATCGCTCTGAGCCTGGTTTGTGTGTGGTGTTATCTTAGATCAGTCAGCAGTGTTGTCCCATTCTTCACATGGGCTTTAAAGATGTATTTTACTCAATCATCATGGCATGTGTTTTGTTTTGTAAAATTACTTACAAGAGCGTATCCTATGAGTATAAAACAGCCTGTTTTCTTTAATAATATTTAAGTACTTCAGTTGTTAATTGCTGTTCAGCATGAAAATAGTCTTTCATGTTTTGGGGGGGACTTCTGTTGCAAACCATAGTGCTTTGTCTGGATTTTTATGCCAGCTCCCAAGTGAATAAGTCATTGCATAGATTTGTATGCAATTCCCGACTTCTAACAAATCACCTACGTAACTGTGGGGTTCAGCATCGTTTCCTCTTACTCCTTGTGCTGTGGCTAAAGATGCCTTGTTCTCTAGCTGTCCATCATTCTCAGCTTTGTTTTGAGTAACAGTACCTCACATTGCCTGAGCAGCCACTTGCTGTACAAGTGAGCGTTTTCATGGAACAGTGTCACTTGTCTCTCTGAGCAGTACTGTCACACAAGAAGAGAGCCAACAACAGCTTGAAATCCCTCAGCTGCAGAGTGATGGAACAGAAAACAAAACGAAATTTCCAGACCCTCAAAGAGATGACATGTTAGCCAGAAGAACTGGAGCTTTTCTTAAACAGCCTGGGCCCAGTACTAAGCAGTTCCTTCCCATGCCATTTTCAAAGCAGCACAATAAGCAGGGCACAACTACAGAACTTGAGAAGAAAACCACGAGGTAAGAAAGTTGTGTTTTTCTCCATCTCTGTTAGCTAGACCTGTGGGCTGTTTGTCAAGATCTCTTTATTAAGATGATTTGCTGGTGGCCCAGTAGTGTTATTTTCATGCTTATCCTCAATTCTCTGCTAATTCTTCCTGCTCAGTAGAAGGCAGTTGAAGGTTTCGTGCCCTTTTAGAAAACTCATGTGGAGTCTCAGACCAGAGCTCTACCAGATGCAAAATTCTAACAACATGTGGAAGCAGATCTGTGTAGCAATTACACTTGCATTACATTTGTAGAGGTTTCTGGTTAAATATGAGGTAATCATTACAAATGTTTCCAGCTAGAAATGGAGATGCTGGATGTAGTAGGTTAGATGATTGTTTATGGCTTAACTAGTGCCAGTGACTTCCTAAGAGGAAAGCTTTAGATCCTGAGATTCTTCCTGATAATGCTCAATGTCTTTCTAAGCACCTTTGTTCAGATGTTTGAGGCTGTGTGAGTGTTGAAGCTTGTGATGAATGAATGATAACAGAGTTATCATTTGGTGGTTGAGCCACATGCAAGCAAGAGTGGAAAGATTCTTACTCATCAGCCTCTTCAGAGTACTTGAGGAGAAGGATATGCATGTACAGTCATGGATGAAATACTGGTTTTCATCTCAGCCAGGAGAAAACAAACCTGTCATCTACCATAGGATTCAACAGTGGCTTGGTGTTGAAAAGACTTAATACTTTAATTTTCAATGGTGTTCTGGACAGTTTATTTTCTGACTGTAAAAAATGGTACAAGCATTTGACTCCTAAAATTATGGGTTTTGCTCCTGCCTCACTTAGCTTGTCCTGTGTCAGCTATTTGGGTTTGTAGGGGTTGTTTTTTTGTTAATTTGTGCTTCTCGTTATGTATGTGTGATTTTTGAAATATTGCTTAATACATCCCTTTATACTGCTGCCTTTGGCTCACTCAGGCCTGAGAAATGTCCACAAGTCTACACTAATAGGTCTGGAAAACCTGCAATAGAACCACCACAAGAACAGCAGCAAGGGCAGGAGGACAGACTCCCACCTACAGGAGAAGATGAGATTATTAGTACTGCCCAAGTGGCTGAAAATGGCAACAGTGAAGTCCACCTTGGTCAAAAATCTAAGCTTCAGGAGGTTCCTGAGGAAAACAAAATGGAAACACTTTCATCCAAGGATGAGCATCTGCAAATGTGAGCTTTCTGGTGTGAATCACGCAGCTTGCAGACCCCTGTGTGCACACTTCAGAGTTCAGATTGTGCATTGCCTGGTGTGTTTTCAGTCCAGACTACAACACTGTGTGTCAGCAACACACATTTTAGAAACAAGAATTATAGTTGTGTAATGCATTTTATTTTGACTTTTAAAAAATATTTAATTGAAAGCTAAGTGAAAGGAATGTTTGATTACCATATATATGTTGAATTGCAAGAAAAGTTTACATAGAAGAGATGCTAAAATGTACTCTGCTTATTGAGAGATACTTATTCTATTTCTCCCATGATTAATGTTGTAGTACTGACTTTTGCACATGATGCTCTTTTATGATAAATTCCATACATATATATGGTTTGCATAGCTCTAAAGAAGACTACAATTGTACTGAATGCTGCTGGTTTGTGTATTACCGGCAACTTTTTTCAGCTATACTCCCCACCCTGAGGAAAGAAAACCAAAACCAACCAAAAAGCAAACAAAACAATAAAAACTCCAAGCCAACCAGCCAGCCAGCCAGCCAACCAACCAACCAAAAAAAAAAAAGAAAAAAACCAAAAAACCTCTGCCCAAACAAAAATAACAACAAAACAAACTACCAAAGATAAGATAAACAAAAACAACTAAAATTCAAACAAGCAAACAAAACCACCAAAGAAATCCCCAAGCACAAAAACAAGACCTACAAAAGGAAAAAGGAAATCCTGTGACTCATTTTCTGACTACAGTATTTGTCTCTTTCATGCTTCAGTTATAGTGGTACTAAGCACTGCTGTGGAATGTAACTGTTTTGTCTCCATTCATTGCATGTATGGCACAATGTAAATGCTAAGACATTGTCTATTTTTAAGAACCATTTTCTATACACATTTTAGGTATACTTCAGCAGGTTTTTGTAATGTGGGGCATAAGTATGTGTTTAAGGAGGGATGGGTGGTGTTCTCATGTAGTTTGACCTCAGGATGATCAGGTAAGTCTTGTTTGATGAATACATAATCCCTGAACAGTATGGTTCTGTTTTGGTCAGCTTTACTAGTAAAGTGACAGTTGTACAAATTATATGGGTCCAGTTGCAATTGCTACTTAATGTATTTATCCACAATCTAATTTTATATTTGGTCTTGTAGATTCGGCCCCAGAACTGCTGTGTCTGATGACGCAGAGTAAGTTGTCGTGTGTTCACAAGATTCTGTTTTAAACAACTTACACTGCATGCTTTTCCATCTTTTCTACTAATTTAAAATGCAGTTGATGCATCCTTATTATTTTGCAGTGTTTTGGCAAATAAATTTTTCAGACAGCACTGAAAAATGGAATGCAATATGGCTTACATTGCAGTTAAAAATAATTTCTATATAAAAATCCTTAAAAACTAAGCATAATACTAATGTCCAGCTGTTGCTTAAAGTATTTTTTCCTCTTTTATTCTTTTATTTTGTCTTGAATTTCTTCTGAATTTCCCTTGCCTCTAATCAGCTACAGGTAAAGAGAGTTGGGTTGAATCTGGGTGTTGAAGAAAAAAATGAAGTGTGAGGAAGAACAGGAAGAAATAAGAAAGCCCAAAGAAAAATAATATCATTGTAATCTCCAGAATAATTACCAGGACGATACATCTTTAGCTGAGCCTTTATCCTCTTTTTAAAATTTTATATTCAATCCCTTCCAAGTTATGTTTAATTTAATAATGTACTAAATTTCAATTTTTAAGCCCTTCACCTTGATGCATCACTTTTCATAGAAGGAGTAGAACTGATATTTATTACACTCAAAAATTAATTTGTTCATGTATGCATACAAACTTTAGTATGGAATAGGATGCAATGTCATTTGGAAAGCTCTTTGGAAGTATTAGCTATTTAGAAGAGGAATAGTTGGAAACTACACACACAATAATATCAATGTCCTTCTGTTCACAGAAATGCACATGACCTTGTCTGTGTCCCAGATTAAATCCCAAAATATAAACAGTATGAAGAGTTGTGGGGGTTTTATAATGAGTATACAGAGAGACTCCTATGCAATTTTTCACCCTTTCCTCTAATGATTAAGTTTATAACACTTGCCATCTCTTTAGGTTTTGTTATTTAGGAGTGTTCCAGTCCAATCCTGAACAATGCAACTGTTAAACTGAGTGTTCTTTACAAGTTCTTTAATACCTTTATGCTAAGCAAAGCCTCTATTCTCTGACTACAGAGTAAGCATGATCATTTTCAAGCAGCAGGAATCTGTCCAGTCAAATGAAGGGGTGAGATAAAAAGAGCAATATAACATATAAGTGTTATAGTAAAAAATGGGGACACTCCATCTTTTTCAGAAAGCCTGCTTTATGATTGATTTTTTCATCTCTGTATGCCTGTATTAAATGCAATCATGAGAGAAGGTACATGGAGAAGCCTTCAAAGAGGCGTTGCAATGGTCTTGGTGGTATAATGTGAGAGTAGCAATGATCAATAAATCATATTGCTTATTCTATACTGATTCTTATTTTGTTTTAGAAGGCAAAACAATTAATATTCAAACCTCATTGTCATCCTTTCCAGATGTGCTACAGTTTACAGAGCAACTATTTTCCTATATTCTAAGTTTTTATAAAAAGTAATACTGTGTTTTCTCTTCTGAAGACAAAGTATTTATGAAGACTCTAATAAAACTTGGCTGTCAAGTAGGAAAAATAAATTGAACTGACATTTAAAATACTTTTTAAATGTTTGTCAAGTCCCCATTGAAAACTCTAACTTGAATTCAGTCTTAGACTAGATGCTCTTTATTCCAGCAGCAACACTAAGGACTCTTTTATTAGACTGGCAAAGTTCCCTTTGCTAGTTAGAGAAAAACTAGATATTGTCATCAGCCCTGGCCTGTCTCAGGGTCCAGAAAAGGCAACACTTGGTGTGTTGCTGCTGACCAGGCCCATTCCCATCTCTCAAAGAGGGAGAATTCTGGTGGTACCCTGATAGTCCAATGTGAGTTTAGGCCCATAGTGAACTGAGATTTTTGAGTATTTCTTTACTAGTCTGATTTTGAGCCAGTCTGTTCCTTTTTATGTTTTGTTGGAGTTTCTTAAGTCTTAGTATGACTGTAAAATGGTAATGCAGCCACATAATAAATGCCTTACATAAGGATTGTTAACATATTCTCATAAGAAGGTTTTTTACCTTATCTTTCACTTTAAAATTAATTAATCTAAACATTGAAGTCCTTCAGATTATTTTTTAATTCAAAATTTATTTAGACCTGTTAAAAAAAGAAATTGTTGCATGGTATCGCTGACAGCAACAACCATAATTTGTTATAATAAAGCAATGTAGCTTGAAAATCCCAGCATCCCAAATACACTGTTGGTCTGCACAGTGCTTTTTCCCAGATCATTGTTAGAACAGCAGGTCTGGTACACTGGTCAGCAGAAAGGCCTCTTGCTTCAGGACAGAATTTATATACAATCTCTGGACCTGTGCTAATGGCAGAAAGTTAATGAACTTGAATTTGGTCCAGTTACATAGTCCCTGTCTACTTGTGAGCTGTATGCCTGCTGGCCCAACATGTGGTTGAAGGGAGCAGTAAATCTAGTTCTGTTCATGGAGGTGTTAGTGATTGTCTGGAGCTATTTATAGATTGTACAAGACAGAAATAGGATGAAATTATGTGGGACTCATAGTGAAAAGTGTCTTTGGCTAGAAGCTCAGAGTTTTGGCCTCTTTGATTCTTCTCTAAAGATGAACTTGTCAGAGCAGTTGATGTAGACCTTACAGTTGGCCTGGTCCATGTACTCAAGAAAGGAAGTTTTTCTCCTTAGTGATTACTACATGCTGGTCAGAGTGGAGCACAGTGCTTTGGGGTGGGACTTCTTCAGACTGCTGTCTTGGGAAGGTACTGGAAGTTGTGGAATAAGAAATTGTGGAATAAGATGTTGCTGCAGAGCTGAAGTTTGAACCCCCCCAGTTGCTTACCCCTGACAATGAAGGCCCAGCAGCAGTTGACTGCTTAAGTAGGAGGTTAATGTGGGGCTGTAATGTACAGTTTGACTCCTGGCCAAGGCTAAAGCCTTTTCCAAAGAACTTTTTTTACTGCATTGTTAATAGTTATAAAACTATTAACTATAAAAATAGTTATGTTGCTGTCCTTGTGCACCCTGTGAGACCTGCATGAATTCAGGGAACAGACATTAGACTTACATTAGGAAATCCAGGTATTCCTTCTAGGAAGGCAAGATTCTTCCATCCCAAATGGCAGACAGTGCGCACTCATGCTCTACTAGGACCAGTAATCACCATTTCAGATCTTACCTTTTCTCCTACTGCATGGGAATGAAAAATAGTTTAAAATGAGGAAAGAGTACAAGGGAAGAGCTACACAACCAGTTTGACCCAGTAGGCACAAGATATCAAATACTGAGCACTAAAGGCTTTCTTAGTGTGAGTTTCAAAAGCTCTTAAACTGGAATAAACCCTATGAGAGTGACTTTATTGTGAGTTATGCATCTCACAACCTACCTCACCAGTCTGCCAAATATGGCTGATGTTTAAGTTTTATAAAACAGCAACACTTGCCGTCTCTTTAGGTTTTGTTATTTAGGAGTGTTCCAGTCCGATCCTGAACAATGCAACTGTTAAACTACCCACAGAAAAACCCAAATTAGTGTAACCCTCAGTACTCTCTTTAAGGGGTGAAGCACAGTAATATGTTAACTTCAGTGTTCATACTTAAAGGCAATAGGATGTTTTCTGTCCTTCATTTCTGAGTAAATACCTACTTAGCAGGAAGGAATCTGTGCACATCCTTTTCCATACACTGTCCAGACCTTTCAAATGTTTTCTTGAGAGTGGCATTCCCGTCTTTGCTTGCCTGAATACAAATGCTGGCTCATAAATATATGCACAGCTTTCCGTGAGTATTCACTTTGAATACTGTGGACACAGTTGCCCACAATTTTTTCTTCATTGGGTGCTTCTCCTGCTAGTTGGCTCATTGGCTCACGTAAAGCTGCAGGTGATCATTTGAGGACTGCTGTGAAATCACTTCATGTGGAACTGCATGGCTTTCTTTTACCTTTTTTTTTGCTTTGAATGGCACAACTGAGGTCATGTTTTACTAATAACAGGTAGCAGAGGTGGAGTGGTAAGCATGTTATCTTTGTGTGAAAATCTTTATATAAAGAGATGCATAACCTTTTTTTCCCTTTAACTCTCCAAAGGTCAGAGACATAAATAGAAAAAAACCTTTTTTTTGTCCTGGACATCATCTTTTCTGTGTTAGGTTAGCTGCATTAATAAGTTGGTGCTGGTAGCATTGGATTTCTTCAAGGGCAAGGGGGAGGAAAGGGGAAGGGAAAAAGTACCATGCAGTTTGAACTTTGTGTACTTCTCTGAGTTTGCAGCAATAGCATTTAGCTGGTCATGCTGTCCCTTATGCACTTCCCAAGCCTTCTTTTACCCTGAAATGGAAAATTCTTTCTGTGGTGTTAATCAAAGTGATCTTGAAAACCCATTGGGCACAAATCTTCAGAAAGTAAAATGTTCTGAATGATAGAATGATTTTTATTAAGAGCTATTGATGGAAGTGTAAAGTTAGTAGTGCTTCTTAGTGAGATATAAAGTTGTGGTTGACTAACAAAATGAGAAGTTGAGGAGTGTAATGCCTGAAGTGCTGTGTGGGAGCCATAGGGATGCTAACAAGGCTGACTTGGGGACTGCGGCTTTTGGGAGCTTTGTAACAGAGCAGGTGTCTGACTCTGCTATAGCACCCTCATGTGGTTTCAGCTCTTACAAGCTGAAGGAATATAAGCCTCTAAATAAGACTGGGCCTGTTGTTATTTTTCCCTTGTTTAGGAGTATGAGTATGTTTGACATGAGATGTGAAGAAGAAGCCGTGTCTCAGCCTCATAGCAAAGCTCGCCATGAGAAGCTGCAGAATATACACAACCAGCTGAAAGAGGACGAGACCAGATGGCAAGATGTGAGTACACAACATTGTTTGCAATGCTGGCAGGCACTGAGGCCAGCCAGGCAAAAACAGGACAACCTGCTAAATCTGCACTTGCTGTCAAGTGCTTAAAATAATAAGGAGAGGGGTTTTTGTTCTCAGTGGATTGTTGCTAAAACCATAGAAGTTCATAATTTGTTGTAAATCAAAGAATACAAGATGTTCCAGTCCCTCTGCCTGTTCACCAGGTATTTTGCTTTTTAAAGAAAACGTAAAGAAACTGTGATTAGGTAAAAAAAAATGGAAGAACAGCTTCTAATTTTCTAATTAGTCAATGGCCAAAGTGACAAATACAAGACTAAGTAGGACAGGGAATAAATAGGTCAGCCTTTTCTTTAATAAATTTGCATAGATACAGAAAATGTTAATGTTTTCCATCTTGTCCAAGCAAACAAATACCACTTCATGTTAGGTACACCCTGCTTGGTTTTTAAGGCCTTTCCAAACCCTCTTTCCTTGATGTGTTTTGTTAAGCTGTACAAGTATTTGGCAATGTCTGCAGCAAATTAGCAAGAACAGAAAAAAATTATCTGCAGGTAAGTTAGTATAACGAGTTTTAGTTTCAATTCAGTTCATTCCTAAAGACTGATTTTAAATAAGGAATTTGGGATATTTTTTAATTAAGAGAAAAACACCCAGAACACATCTGTTCAAGTATGGTAGTTTCTCATTACAAGGAAAGCTTCTGTGAAACACCTCAGAGAGGTTTTTGGTAGAAAATTTAAGGAAAAGTTAAAAACAAGTGGTATATACAGCTAAGAAGTGACTTTGGACTTCAGCTGAAAGGTCTTTATGTGTGGAAAGCTGTAATTTCCCAGCAGAGATAAGAATAAATCCAAAGGCATTCAAGAAGTTTGAGAACTCTGCTGTAGAATTGAAAATCCTCTGAGCTAAAGTTCTTACATTTTCCAGGCCCTCAGCACCTTCTACCATGAACTGAAAGTTCTGAAGAGGCACTGAAAATGCCTTTATTAGAACACCCTCGGCATTCTGAGGGCTTTATAGAGACATGTGTCATGCTCTGATATTTTAGATATTTTAGATGCCTATGCTATGAATTTGCCAACAATTAACAATTTTAAGGGGGCTTTAAATTATTGTTATTCTAAAGCATCAGAACTGGAAATTATAAATATGTCTGGTTTTTAATTATGAAAAGAGAAGGAGGGCTTATGTTAGAAAATTTGCTAATGAAAAACTAATTTCCAAACAATAGAACACAGTGGAAGTAGCTGAATAGAGAAATGCTTTGGTACTTCAATGAGAATAATCAGTAACTGAAGAAAATGATAGGCCTATGTTTCATGAAGGGGATTATAGACTGATATATGTAGGTCATGTGAAGAAGTACTTTAATGAACATTCCCTTTAGTGTAACATCAATAAATTGTTGTTTTAAGCTAAATTAAAAGTGATAATGGTTTTTCCTGATTTTCATAACGGAAGTTATGCTTGCAGTACCTTCTGCTGTTTACCAATAAAAATGCAATTAAAATATTTGGGAAACCATGAAATTAATGAAATAGCCTTTGAATTGAGTACATATTATGAATACCTGGGTTTTATTAAAATAAAAAGTTGTTGGAGTACTTGAAATATAATCTGTATGCCAGCCTCCTGATGTGGAAAATTTAATCACAAATGTTCCCTTCCAGTTTCCTAGGAAGTTATTTTTCTTTGCAGAACTTCTGCAATGGTTACTTTTTACATGTAAAATTTTGTTCCTTCGCTAGTTGGCTGCAAAGAAATTTTACAGTTTAGAAAACTTCTTTACTGTAATACTTGTACTGTGAAAAAGACCTTACTTGTGTATCCTCCAGGATTTGTGAATTCATAAAGGGTGCAAGACATGTCAGGGGCCATAACAGGTACCTCCTGTGACTCTCTGGTTTAGTGTCAGGCTAGTTTTTCAGAAAAGGCAGAGAACCAGATTTAGTCAATCTTCTGCACAATTTCAGGCAGGCAGATTCCAAAAAGACTGCAATTGTTACTTCAACAAGGATGTCTCTATGTAGCTGGATACAAACCATAGGCTTTTTACTCTGTCATCTCTCACACCAGCCAGGTATGAGCCACATCAATCCCTAATCTCTCTTGCTGACATCTGGATCCAGAGGAATGGAGGGTGGCCATGGTGAAGAATTTAAATTTGGATCCTGCACTGGATTTTTCTACCAAAAAACCCAACATCATGGGTCAACCATATTTGCATGTAGCTTTGCATAGGCAAAGTTGGAACTATAAGCTCTCCAAGGCCGACAATGCAGCTGTAGCTCATGGTGAATCAACATCCATTCCTCCAATGAACCCTTGCTTCCCATATGTCTGATTATTAAAATTCTTCACCAAACATAATTTTTTTACTTAATTTTCCTGGAGAACTGGATTTTGTCCCTAGTGTTGGCCCAAGTGAAAATGAGTGTCCTGACTCGTCCTTTTAGGCCAAATTTCCTGCCAAAAGCAAAGTAAGCAATGAGTATATGAAATCTTTACTGTATCCTGCTATCAGCAGAAAATTCAGGCAACATTTTCATTTATGGCATGACTTCCTTTTGTCATTGAAATAAACAATGCTGCCTGCAGGTAATGGGAGCCTATTCCACAGGCAAGAACAAGTTTTGCAACCGGTTGGCTGGGTTCATTTTTACTTGTGGCCACTTTTTAGCTATTTGCAACTCTGCATTCAGGTGCCTTCCTTCTCTCACAGGACCTGGCTCGGTGGAAGAGTCGTCGAAGGAGTGCTTCACAGGATTTGATTAAAAAGGAAGCTGAGAGAAAGAAAATGGAGAGGTTAATGGCTGGAGAGGGAACGAATGAGCGCAGAAAAAGCATCAAAACCTACCGAGAAATTGTGGAGGAGAAGTACGTTGCTTTACTGGAGTGTAGTGGCATGTCTGAAAATGCTGTGTGCTCCACAGGTGATAGGTGACTGTGGGCAGCCATGCCTGCAGGCCTGAGTGAGGGAGAGGGGAGGATGCTAATGGAGCAGAGGAAATGGCTGTGATTTCCAGTGTTAATGTGATGGTTTCTCTTGTGTTGTCTTCCTTGCAGAGAGAGAAGGGAGCGGGAGCTTCATGAGGCATACAAGAATGCAAAGACACAGGAGGAGGCTGAGAGCATCCTCCAGCAGTACATTGAAAGATTCACTATCAGTGAAGCTGTCCTTGAGCGTTTGCAGATGCCAAAAATCCTAGAAAGAAGCCATTCAGTGGAACCAAATTCCCCACTGAAAGACCCAAATCCTCTGAGATATTTAAGGCAACAGTCACTTCCTGCTCCAAAATTCACTGCCACAATTGAAGCAACCATTGTTCCCACCACTGAAGTAGAGCCCAGCAGTTCAACAGGACGCACATCTCCCAGCAAAAATGTCTCCAAGGCTGTGCCTATGCTGACACCCAAGCCTTATTCACAACCCAAAAATACACAGGAAGTTTTAAAGAACTTTAAGGTAGGATATGTCACGTGCCCCAAAGTCAACCAGGAGGCAAAGAGATCTTGATTGAGTCATCTGAACATATGTTTGATGCAATTATGTAGAAAATGGTGGCAGCATTCTGATATTATAAAATTCAGCTTCATGCTCTGTGCTGCTTCTGGTTTAGTGGTTTCTTCATGTTTACCAGTCTTCTTAGAATCCTGACCTCTTCAGACTGAAATATTTGCACTGGTCATTTTAACTCTGGCTAAATTTGTTTTGGGAAAGGAGGAATTTAAGAAAAAAGCAAGGTATTTAATCAGAAAGTTTTTAGAAAAGAGTATGTGGTCATGTTTTTTGTTTTTGAACAAAATGCAGGGAGTGTGGAGGCCCTGATTTTTGAAGCAAGACCTGAACTTACTTTTGTGTCAGGGGTCCGATTTTTGGCATATCCAAACAAGTGTGTGCCTGCTCCTTCAGAGCCAAGAGCCAGCTTGCCCAAAGATGTGCTCTCTCTTAAACATGCTTCTCACCAAGGATGACTGGGCAGATCTGCCTCACAGGCATAGAGAGAGGATTTAGGTTGTGCATGGAGGTTCAGTGAAGCAGGTTGGTCCTGGGGTAGCAGAGTAACTGGAGATGGATGGTGAGAGAGGGAGAGTGGCTCCATTGGATCTCAAGAACCATGCAAAGACTATGGGAGTAAAAGAAGTAAGAGAACTTGGATGAAAGCAGGCCTTCTGGGAATAAGTCAGCTATGATTTGTGGGAGGAGAATAGGAAACCAGAATATGAAATCTGAGGAGTGTATCTTTTGACTGGGTGATTGTGGAGAATGAGAGTAAGATACTGAACCAATGATGGAAAAAGCAAAGAACTGGGATGTATCAAAAAGAACAGACCAGAATAAGTCAAGTTTGAAAATATCTGCTGTTCACAGTGCCTGTACCAAAATTGAAGCTTACCCAAGTCTCATAGTAGTCATGTTGTGAACAGTGTGAAGCTTATTGGCATGGGTGCCCCCAGTCTCTAGAGTTTGGATTCCCTTCTGTCTGCCATTGCTTATACTTTTCAAATGGTATTCAAGGGTCTCTGAAGCCCTGCTGATATCCCAGTAGCACTGCTACCATGTATATTCAGGCTGTTTACTTTATAAAAAATAAGTCAGCTCTTTGTAGCTAGTGAAAAAAGTATGCTGTGATGTATAATTTATTGCAGTCTGTCCCAGCTCTTGTGGAAACCACACCCCACCATGTTTCCTAGTTCAAACAAGAAACTGATAAAATTCCTGTTTCTCCTATACCCTCGTTGGTATCCCCTGAGTTTATTTTTAGATATCAGTGAATCATGGATCTTTGGTTTTTTTCTGATCCTTGCCCCTTTTTTCATCAGAGGACCAAGATATGTGTGTGTATCACCATAATGTTTTTGCATATATAATTCACATATATGGGAAGAAACTAACTCATGAAGGCTGCTACACCTCATGAGCCACCACAAAAAAATCTGTTTGAATCTTGTTCACATGATGTGAAAAAATGTGATTTTTCTCAATAGGAATTATTCCCTAGCACATGTAGTTGTAGCATTATTTTCCCTTGAAACACCAGCCTGTCAATGATTCTTGGTTCTAGTGACAATGTGTTGACTTCCTCCAGATCAGAAGGAAAGGAGTGTGTTTGTTTAACTCTTCAGCCAGGGCATCTGTCCTGTTCATCCAAACGTTTGGTTTTCCTCCTTAATATAAATAGAGACATGTCTTAGTCTAAACAGAGATACTGAAATGGATGGTGCAGCCTGCCAGTATTTTCCTGGACTTTTTATTTTTGAGATTTTTCATAACCTGCCTCTCTAGTAGATAACCCAGCCCACAGTCCCAGAAGACTTGGGGCTCAGTTCCTACTCACACTTGTGTTTGGAAATAAACCCCAAGAGAGGTACTATGTTAAGTGGATGATGTCAGTGTAGAAAGGGAGGGAACATTTTCATCTGAAAAACACTCAGAATGAGTGAAACAGGTGGTGGAGCTGACTGTGCAAGGGCTAACTGCCTCCACCTTCCTGCACATCTGGCAGAGCTAAGGGTGCCCAGCACTTCAGAGATGGCCTCTTAGTTAATCATGCTCATAAAGAACAAGCCTCTGGATGCACATGTACAAGAAGCCAGTGGAAGGAGTTTGCCCTCAGCCTGCTACTGACGATATATTCTAAGTTGGAGTGCCACTCTTGAGGCGTCCAAGCTGTTCACTCAGTAAGTAAGGAAGGATCTCTGTGCACAGAGTAGCAAAGCCCTCCTTACTCCTCGTACCTGCTGACAAGCCTGTAAACATCTGTGCTGTGGCCAGGCAGGAGCAGTGGGGTGGTACTGAGACATGGTCCTCTCCTGGTCTGTCTCCACCTGGGGCCTCTTAAGGTAAATGGCAGTGAGTTCTCTGTAGCAAAACTTCTCTTGTATGCTTCTACAAAGAGCCCTTCAAACTGAAGGGAGTCTTTACATGCCACCTCCATTCAGAAATCCCTGTGTAAAAGTGCCAAGAAGTTGTATCAATTCAGAGGAAGAAGCCAAATCATATTTTGTACTTTCTTCTTTGCGTAAAGGTTCCTTAGCAGGAGTATATGGCCCCCAAGGAGCTAGCTTGGCCCTGAGAAAAAGGTAGTCAAACTGTTTCCACACTCTCCTTTTCAAGGAGGTTGCCTAAAGTAATTTTTTGGGAAAGCACCTATCTATTTGATTGCCTTATGGAGAGGGTGGAATGGCCAGTTTTATTTGCTGGTGCCTTGATTCCCTGTTATGAATAATAAAGAAACAAGTAGATGAACTCTGCTGCTCCTATCCCTTCAAAGTTCATATGACAGTGCTTCAAAAAAGTACAGACTGCTAATACTGGTGGTGAGGTCATTGAGGTACATAAGCAGTTCATCAGCATAATTAGTCCTGGAGAACCTGCTTAGCTCTTGCATAAGGCAATGTAAAACCCAGCAGATTTGGTCTAAATTTAACATAAATATTGATTTTTTTTTAGACATCCTTTGATCTGTGATGCCCACAAAGGGTGTCTGTATGTTACAGGGAGAACGGAATGTGGGAAACCAGGAAATCCAGAAAAATTATTTCCTTGTGCCTGTATTTTGTTTATGAGCCCTCTAGGGTCACAGGGTCTTTTTCTGTTTTGGCCTGTTGAATGAAATATGTGCTTGGCTTCATCCCTCACTGATAACACAGACTGTGTTAATGATTGTAGTATCATGTTGAACTTCCTAATTTCCTAAATTCCTTGGAATGCTACTTGTCTCAGCATATTTATTTAACTGTATTCTGCAGGTAGATGGAAAAGTCAGCATGAATGGAGAAAATGTCAACGGCACAGAAGAAAAGGATAAAGAATGTACAACAGTAATATTTACTCCTTCACCAACCAGATCTGTGAAATTTGATGGAGTAGCCAGAGGGGACAAGCCCCCGGTAGAGTTGAAGAAGGACCCCCCAAGTGTTGAGCTCAGTTTACAGAGGCCTGCCACTCAGAGTGTGCACAAAGAGCCAACAGTAAGAGCAACACGAACAAACCAGCCTTACTTTCTGTGCCAGTTTTCTGTCTCATGATGTGTTTAATCACTAACTAATGATACCCAAGTGCCTCTGTTTGCCTTATTGCAAAAGGGTGTGCCCAGACCAGGAAAAAAACTATAAACAAAACCCCAAGTCCTTTGTAAATTAAAAGCTTCTTCCTTTTGTATGTGGGTAGAGGAATAGGAGGGTAAAATTAAAAAAACTTTTTTGCAGCCGCTGGTGGGGGGATTTTGGAGGTTTTTGGTTTTTTTTTCTTTTTTGTCTTTTTCATTTTTGCTGTTGTTTTGGGCTTTATTTTCCAGATGCCATGTAGCTGATAAGCATGCTTTAAATGTGCTGGGCCAGGGAGAAATTGATTCAGTGTCCCAGCCGTTGTGCAGGTTTATTCAGCGCTTCTCCTAATGTAAGCTGATTAGATCAGCAACATAATTGGACTGTGTGAGCCATTATAATTAGTCTCAGTTTTCAGTTTTCAAAAGAGGATGTGGATGTGCTGGCAGTTCTGAACATTTGGTTTTCATTCCTCTCTCAGAAACATTAGAAAAGGGGATAAGCTATTGAAATGCTCAGAGGGGCCAACATGCTTCTTAACTGCCTTATCAGAGAAACAAATTAATTTTACCTTTTCATCTTTCTCTCCCCCTCTTCCCCAGAGAAAAAGGCAGGAGTAAAACTACAGCATATCGCAGCAGGCATCTAGATGCCACAAAACTGTAATAAAAGTAGATAGTAAAAACAAAACAAGAAATAAGGAGAGGATTGCAAAGAGAGCATGTAAAAGGGCTGCAAGCAAGTGACAGCAGAGGGAATTCTCACAATTTTTTTCCTGTGTAACAACAAAGAGAATTGGAGATGTGGTGAGAGTTGGAGTATGATAATTTTTTCTTTCATCTCAGATTTCATCCAAGCATTGGGCAGATAGATAACAGGGAGCAGGCAGACATCTGTCCTGGGGCATGATAGCTCATTCATGAGAAAGGGTTTGTGTTTTACTCCCCTGCCTAATGCCAGTTTCTAGCTACGGACAACCAAATCATGGAGCCTGCAGCAATCATGGGAACTGAAATGATTCTGTCGAGGGAGCTGGTATTGAGTCAAAAGTGAATGATTTTCAGGGAGAGCAGGGCTGAGGCTGCTGCTGTCACAACAGTTTGGCTGTGAGGGAAAAGCCAGGTAAGCATTGCATCTGATACAGGAGAGCAGGTAATGGGAGTGTTTGGAGAATAGAGAAGAACCTCAGATGGCTGGAGATTAGAAGCTCAATGACAATCTGAAAAGTAGTGAAGTGAAAATATTAAGGTCTCCTTTTTAAGGATTTTCAAGCCTAGTTAGAGTTATGAAGAAACTCAGCAGCAGAAGTCACTGTTAGTTCTTGAGTGTTGTTGTATCTTTTGATGTCCTATCATCCTCCCCTTTCTACAGCTTTGAGGATGATATGGCCAGCTGAATACAAATTTTTCTCTGTCTGGTTTCTCCTTCCAGTTCTTAACTCTTGTGGTGATACCGGCAAAGGTGGCAGAAGAGTTTGACTCCTCAGATTCTTTGTGACTCTTGACATTTACAGAATAATTCCTGGTTTGTCAGCTTGAATGCACTTAATGATGAAGCCTACAAGAGAGAATGAGGGTGCACCAAAATGATGCTAGTGACAGAGTGTCCATGCTCTAACTACAAATTTTATATCACTAGCCTCACAATTCCATAAGCAATGTGACTGGGTAGTGCAAATCATTGTAATTACTCCTGGCACTTCAGCTTTCAGCAAAGGTATGTGTATTAAGCATGTCAGGGACAGAGGAAGGAGAGCAGACTGCTTTGAGGAGGATCTTCTGTGGGAAGACAGGTGGAATGCACTGAATGTGATAAGAGAGAAGACAAGGAGATCTGCCTATGGCTGGAAGGGAATTTGCCAACCTAAAATAAGATTTCAGGTTCTGTTCATTCTGGATGTTTACTTCTCTTTACCCAGATGCTTCTTTTTAATTTTACAGGTCTCCATGCCTCAGACTAAGGCATGGGCAGTAACTTAGCTATTAAGAATACAGGAGAGCCGTGGTTTGTTGATGGAAAGGGCTTAGATGCAAGGTTACAGAGATGGGACATGGTACTCATGTTTGGGTTCTTCACTGGGGTCTTGGGACACAGACAAGCACTGCTACAGACCCCTCGGTATGGATGTGATTGGTTTGGGGCCTTATGTGCAAGAACTGGGCAGCTGCACTGGACTCACTTCACTCAGCCTTCTCCCTGTACTTATTTTACTTCGGACTTTGGACAACTAACACAACCATGTCAGCCTCATCTGCAGACCCAGAAAGGCTAAACTGCTCTCTGAAAGATATCACCCCTCCTGGAAGGTTGGGAATCCAGATTAGGAAAGATAAGATCCTTCTGGGCTTGTTCCACTCCCTGTAAAACAAGACCTCTTGATCAGTAGGATACTGCATCTAGCTGTCACTGTCAGCATTCCAGAAGGGAAAAAGAAGTTTGATGTTTGCTCCAAGGATGGGACTTCCAAGCTACACATTCTTAGAAGTAAGGAAGCCTTCTGAAAGCCTCCACTGTCACCTCCCACAAGGAGAAAACAGGGCTGTAGGTTTTCTCTGATGCTTAACCCTTCTGACATTCCAGAAAAGGAAGAGAAAATGACAGGAACAGGTGTAGAAAAGCAGCTAAGATGAAGAAGAGCTGTTTAGAGTGGAAGAAATTACTGAAGCTCTTTTGCCTTGAGAAAACTGCTTCAAATTAAGCATATTTTCAAAGCAAATTTCTAAACTTGCTTACGCTGTGTTTATTTGTATATTTTATTGATTCAGTTCTTGTTAGCTGTGTCCTTCCCAGGCTTTGAATAAGATTCACAGGCAATCGTTCTGTTGAGAAATGATGAGTCAGAGGTTTGTTTTTTCCCTCTCTAGTTGTTTGTAGATTTGGGTTGGTTTTGTGTTTTATTCATCCATTTTTTACTCCAAGTCTCTTTTGTCAAATATATATTTATTTTCATATACACCTCACCTATGACACTCCTGTCCTCCCCTTCTGATTCTGTTCCTGTTCTTTACATGCCCCTTCCTCCTCCTCCATCCCTTGTAGGGCTGCTCTCCTGCTGTTTCAGTTCATTTGTCAAACGGACTTGTTCTGTCTTCTCTCAGCCTGGCAGGCTTCCCTTTGAAGTCCCTTCTGTAGTCCCAGTTTGCATCTGTCTGGCTGCCCTCAGGCATTGTCTGCAACAGGGGAAGATGCTATACAACTGTGCTCCAACAGTGCTTTTGGCCTGAAGTTTATTGAAGTTGCACCACTTGAAACACTAACACTATTGAGGCTTTTGGGGAGCTAGGGAAGTGCAGAGATCATTTCCTCTGAGTGAGACCTCAGTGTCAGTTGTCTTTTTGAGAAGAGAAGGACCACATCTATATGTGTATAGAATAATGTTCACAACCAGAGACTGACTGGGAAACGTGTACATCCTGCCTGAAATGAGATGCAAAAACCTGCAGCAGGTGAGCAGGACAGTAAAGAAAAATATTATCAAAAAATATACTTACATCTCTAGAGTATTAGGTAGAGTATAGGTAGTATATAAGTGATTTTACAAGAGACCTTTGCTTAAAGTAGCTTATGGAATTTTGCCTATGATTAAAGTCTAAAAAAGGATAAACTTGACCTACAAACAGGAGGAAAATATCCCACTGGTGTTTGTGCAGCAATGTGGTGCTAAGAGGGGTGGTAGGTAAAGCATACCTATACCTCTCAATGCAGTTGGAAAAACTGGGGCACAAGCCCAAAGACTGATCAATCAGTGGCAATACCAGCAATAATGTGAAAATTATCTCCTCATACTGGTCCTACCTGTCAGGCATTTAGGCTGTGTTTTTTTTCCCATTTTACAGAATAGTGGCACACACTATAAGTGCTGAGAAGTTCTGATCACTAGCTCTTTGAATCAAAAGTTGGCAAAGTAAATATTTTGTTTTAGAATGGTGTTTGTGCAGATTTTAGTGTAGGGGAATCAATTTGTCAGTAAGTAAGTAACATCACTTTATTATAACCAATCTTTATGCAAGCACATAGAAATTATTGGCTTCCTATAGCTCTAACTATAACTTTGCTCTGATCAACCAAAAAAAACAAATATAGGCAGCAACCTAAAAAAGATCAGGGTGAAGTGGTGGTGGTGGGGAGAGACAGCTTTCTTTTATTTTTTCTATAGCTAGCTTAAACTTGTCCATTTGTACTCACTGCACGCTTGGCACAAAATGCATTTGTTTTCTATATCCAAGTAACACTCTCCTTCATGTTGAAAAATTCACTGATTGAACTGAGATTAAAGTATAAGCTTTCTTGTGGTTGAGGATTGTTGGCCAAGCTACAGGAGAGCAGGGCTGGAATCCTGGTTTGTACATATCCGGTAAGACAAGTCTTTGTTCTTTGATTCATTATGAGATACACTTGTAGGGTAAGCCTGTCTGTTCCAGATTTGCCTTGAACCACACATGAAAAGATCCATGGAGGGCTGGACTACCTGAAGGGAAAAAGGTGTAGGATGAGAAGTGCAAGCAGCAAAGCATCAAAGCAGTTAGAAGGGAACTCTGCTCAGCTTTTGGTTATGAGCATAACCTGCCTGTCTCCTGTCCTTCAGACAGCCATGTACTTTTCACTGTCTGTCAGAAGTGAAAGAAGCAGATTTTACACCCCAATTGAACAGTCATAGCTCTAATGACTATCAGGAATACTTCATATTTTCTTGCAACATTTTCAAGGCTTCTCTGTCAGTTACTGATTACCCTGATCTTTTGTTGTAAATAGCTGGCCTGAATATAGCATTATGTAGCTGGCAGATGACTTAACCTGTTGAAGCAGTGTTTTGGCTGTAGTACTATATCTGGCATAGCATGCAAGAAACTAAGCTGTGGCAGCCCAAGGTTGTGCCATCATTTCCACTCACATCAGCTGCCAACATTAATTTTGATGAGGAAATCTTTGTACTAAAATTTTGAAGTCATAATATGTGTAGAATTCGAATCACAGGAGTTTTGTGATTTGTCAGACAATTTCTACATGTGGCTATTGATGTTGCAACCAATTTCATTCCTGAATGGTTTTGCAGAATTTCAATTGTAGTTTTAACCTGATTCTATCTGATATCTCTGCATTCTCACTGGGTTTAGACAGCTTGTTTTGTCATGCTTTCATATAAAATACAGTAACAATATTTCACATGATTTTGTGGGCAAGCAGTGTTAACTGAGCTATGTTTCAATTTAATTTACAAGAAGAATTAATAAAGTTCTACTGTAACTTCCTTTGGAGTTTGTATTATTGTAGAAGTTGTGATACTTTGTGTGCTAGGTATTTCTGGTTATTGTATTTTTAGGGTTTTATTAAGGGTGTAAAATTCTGCCACAGCAGTAGCCAATATGGCCATTTCTGGCTTGCATAATCTTAATCAAATAAATACTTGGACTGATACCCTAGTTTATGTGATTAAAATCCTGTCTCTCACAAACTGAACTAATTTATTTTCATGCCTAATAGGTGTTGGTAACACTATATGTTTGTGCTTGTGTCTTTGTTAAGTGGATAGTTTGTTTAGCAGAACACAGGTGTTTCTTTGTCCTCTGTACTGATGTGCTCATAACCACAGCTGCCATCACAGTATTTAACTTTCCATCATGAATTAAGGCTAAGTCATAAATGGGGAAGCTTACTTTAACTCCTGGGCATCCAGGTAATACCCCAGCATGGGGTAATAAAAACACCCATCCAAGCAGATCCAAGTAGACAGCATTCTACTTGGATTTAGAAGTTTTAATAGGACAGTCTCAACACCAGGCTGATGTGTGGGCAGGGATAATCAGAGCCCCCATGCACTGAGGTTTTCCTCACTCCTCTTGAAGGCTTCATTGCCTGTGGTGGTGTTGTGCGACCTTCCCTCTCAGCAGAGCCTGTGTTTGGAATGGCTCTGTTGCCCTGCAGAAAGAGACCTCTGCCCACACAAACACAAATGACAGAAGGGTGCTGAGAGGCTGCATCAGTCCTTCATCCCAAGACATGAGAGCTCCACACAGAACTGAAGCACCTCAGAAGTGTCACTCACTAGGTTACTGAGTCTTTAGTCAAAATACAGTCCTCCTAGGTGTAATGAAATATTTTTACACCTATATTTTGTGTTCAGCGATATCATCATTTGATTACAAATATTTATGAAATGTGAAGCATGATAGTCTGTCGTAAAAAAGATTTTATCAATTGTATCAGCACAAGAATTTTCTTAAGTGTATCATATGCCTGCGGATAAAATACTAGATAATACTACATTAATTTGGTGTTATAAATAGAATTAAATTTAGTGAAATAAGAGAGTTCCCAAGTGAAGTTGACTTAATTTTTTTATAAATTAGTTATTAATCAGTTTTATATTTTTAGCTGTATGTCACTACTATTTAATTGCTCAGCAGAGGGAGGAGAAAAAGTCACGTCTCGTGAGCAGGAACAGAACTTCTGCAGCATGCCATTGGAAAGTCAGTTTTCCTGCAGCAAGCAGTAGCTCTTTTTTCTATAAATAACATTTATGTCTGTCCCTGATTCAACCTCCTGGATATAGGTTATGGGCAGGTTTAGTTATTGTGCTTGCGCAGGACAGCTGCACAACAGTACCAGCACCATATTTGGGTTCCTGAGGTAACTCCAGGCCCAGAGGTGACACAGGTGCATCGTGTCTGTGCATCATGCATCACTGCAGCATTCACTGAGCAACAGTGAATTTTAGTCCCTCTGAGAGGCCATTGTGGCTGTGCTCTTTCTCCAGCAGCAGCTGACATCAGCAATTGGCTTTTTTGGTAGTTTAACACTTTTGTATTGGCTCTGGGAATATGACAGTTTATAGCTTTAAAGCCTCTGACATAGAAATTAAAGTTGAATGTACTTATTTATTTTAATTTTTAAATTTGGACAGTTCCTGTTTGAGAGTGAAGGGTGAATTCCACTGTTTTACCAAAAATATTTTCAATCTAAATACTAATAATTGAAATCTACAACAATTTCTTTGGGAGGCTTATGGTTTGAACCAGTGAGTGTGGAGCCTCTTGCTTTTCCATGTGAAAACTACCTTGTTTAGGGCAAATCCTGAGCTCTCAATAATAGCCATTTGTTTAGGTTTAACAGAGTTTTGTAGGTTGTAGAATGACATAGAATAATTCATGTTGTAGGTCTCTAGCTGAGTCTGCTGCTCAGAACAGGATCAGACCAGAACAGGTTGCTAAGGGCTTGATCTTTCAAATCTTGAAAACTTCTGAGTCCAGAGATGGCACAACCTATCTGGCTAGCCTGTCCTCATGCAGACAAGAAATACTTATTTCTGCTTTAAGCAAGGTTGGCAAGGATTTCCTGTAGCTTCTCCCCTAGCCACTGTTGCATCAGGAGCCAGAACTGAGGTTGAAGGGGAAATTTTCTTTAGTTGCAGTAGAATTCTTCTGGGGCTTTTGCGATGAAAACTCTCAGTGACACACCAGGCTAGCATCCAGAAGGACTGGGGGATAAAGAGGTGGGTTATATGACAGAAATGAGCAACTAAGTGGCAAGAGATAAACCTCTGGGCACGGCACTTGCAGTCTCTGGAGCATTTCTCTGAGGCTGTGTTTTAGCCTGTGCCTCATTTCCAGTGACCTGGGAGTATGTGAGACATGGAGGGAGATGTCTGTGCTTTCCTCACTTTTGGTAGAGATGCATTCACAGGTGGACATGGTAGGAAGGAAGTCCTGAAACTTTCCATGTTACCTTTTTGGAGACTCTATTTCACTTTCTGCCCCATCCAGTTTTAAGAACTGCTTTTAGGCAGGTGGAGATGTGTCTCCATGTCTTGCCTGGGGCAGAGGCTGGGGGTGGCAGGGGTGAGGGTGCCCTGGAAGGTGGTGGCAGTGAGGAGGATGGCAGGCAGCCAGCCCCAGCAGGCGCTGCCGCCTCGAGAGGCTCGTGGCTGTGATCTGGTGCCTGTCCTGCTGAGAGGTGGCAGCACAGCCCTTGAGCTGCAGGACCCTGCTCTTGTTCCCAGCACTGCTGGCTGCCTGCTGGGCTTGCCTGGTCACTGGCCCTGCCCATGGCCCCACACCAGCTGCACCTTTTTCTTGCAGGGCATCTTCCTAGATGTGTGCCTGCCCCTCTTGAGAGCATGTCTCCCTCCAGAGAGGAGACAAGGCAGGGATTCACAAGCTTTGCCAGCAGTAAAGTTCCCTGGAGCTTTGTTGGTATGTCCACAGGTGTTGACATCCTGTTGGCATTGCCAGCAGATGTCTCCGATTATGGAGCAGTGAGAGCCCAGGCCTGTTTTTCATGAGGCATGTTCAGATAAGGGGCCATAGGCTCATGAGGGCCTGCAGGGATAGGAAACAGGATCCATACATAAGGTGAGGGTTGATTCTTGCCTGCAGAAAAGAGGAAACTTGATCAGATTTCCCCCTTTGCAGCTGTTAAGAAGATGGAGGAGTGGGAGGAGGACAGGAAAGAGAGTATACAGTAGGCTATTTCTGAAATATATTACTTTTTATTTCAAAAATTAGTCTGCATTTTTTATTTTCCTCCATTGAATGTGCCGTTTTCTAGATCTTGGATGCATTAGAAGCACAAGCTATCAGCAATGGCTGATAGCTCTGTTGCAGATTTTTCTTGATTTGCCTTCTGGAAAAGCAGACATATGGTGGGAGCTGCTGAATAGATCAGCTGAAGTGTTACCCTTGTTTTGACAGTGTAGTTTTAACTCTGCAACAGCCCTGTCCAGGTCAGGAAGCTTGCTTTTCAAAGGCATTTGAATTATTGGCTTGATATGGTCTCACCATATTTTTTCAGTCCTCTCTTAACAGTGTTTCAAGTATTTCATTACCTTTAATACAAACTCTGGCTTTTCCCTTCAGATAACAGATTGTTTAGACAACCGTGAAATAAAGGAAGTATTTAATTACTGTGCCACTTTCCAAACCCTGGTGTGTGCTATCTGTTCACTAATGCATACATTTGTGTGTTATTCTGGAAGGGGAAGCTAGGGGTGAAATGTGTGCTTATCTCCAGCTAACACAATCCAAGATATCCTACAGTTTTAAAAGCTTGTAGGACCTATTCCAAACCAACCACATTAATGGCTGATGATGAGGAATTTGAAAAGGAGATTAAAGCACAGCCATTCAGTACCAGAACAGGCACATATTGCTCTGAAACATTCTCCCCAACACCCTGCTGAGCTCCACACTGATGTGGTTCGAACACACTACAAAGGAGCAGCAAGCACTGCCTTGAGGAACAGGCACATGCTTTTATTTCCACTGTACTCACTTCATGCTGTGTTCCTCTCTCCAGGCCTCCCCAGTGGAACTGGATGGAGCTGACAGCCTGCAAGCCGAGCCCAGACCCAGCAGTGTGACACCTGCCTCCCCGGAGTGCCCGTCCCCAGGTGGGTGTGCTGCTGCCCTCACCCCTGTCCCCAGGTGGGTGTGCTGCTGCCCTCACCCTGCCCTGCCTGTCCCCAGGTGGGTGTGCTGCTGCCCTCACCCTGCCCTTGCCCTTCCTCACTATGGGCCCAGGTTGAAGCCCACCTTTTGGCAGAAATCTACTAGGAGCATCACCGGCAGCACCAACAGGGCTCATTAGAAAATGCTGCAAATGTCAGTAGTCTTGACACAAAATGAAATTGTATGCTGTCAGAAGAGTCATTCACTGTAGCAGCCTCCCAAGGGATGTGTTACAGCCCCTGTGGCAGGTGTTTTTTCAGGTGCAGCTGGACAGGGTGCTAAAGAATCTCCTCTAAGCTCCCTTTCCCACAAAAGCTGGGACTAGATGGTCTGTTGAGGTCCTTTCCAGCCTGGGCTGTTCTGTCATTCTGTGGTTGAAGTTATACACCTGAGTTGTCCACTTGGCCATCTGTGCACCTGAAAAGCCAGTGCCACAGCCTGCTGTAACCAGAAAGCAACAAGGGCAGAAGATACCAGTCAGTAATAGTTTCTGTTTGACACATTTTTTCCCCCGAGACATGAAGGAATGGGAGAAAGAGTAAGAAGGGGCACTTCAGTCCCCATAGGGGCTTTAAATGGACAGTATTGTGCAGAACTCTAATTGTCTGCCTTAAAGCCTTTATGCATGATTCCTAATCTGAGGAAAGGAATTTGCTGGTAGAATTTTAAGCTGTTTTCCTCAAAAGTGTGTTTCTGAAACATTGTCTTTGAGTAGGCACTTTATTTGCTGTATACTGTTATACTAAGTTCATGGTATTTTTTGTTGGTCATTTTTTAAAATATGTTTATTAAAGTGTAGTTTGGTATGGGTAAGTAAAAAGTACTATGTCAAGTAGGTGTTTAAATGAGATCTCTGGCTGCACTTGGTATGTAAAAATAATGCTCCTATTTGTTGGGGATAAATATGACTAAAACAATTGAGCTTTGCCCTCAAACATCAGCGAGGTACCATTCCCCAAAGATTAGAAGCACATGGGCTGTTAGCAAGGGCTCATTAGCTGCCTTGATTACTTTGGCTCCTAGATGCCAAAGTACATAGTTTAACAAATTTCAATTGCGTCTGGCAGGTAATGTAGAAGGTGCAATCTTGTAATGAAATGACCAAATTCTCCTCTCAAAAGTCAACAGTGATGAACTGGTGCTGTCTACAAATCACAAAGCTATCTTGGCTTCAGCTCCCCAGCTGCCAGAAATGCTAAACCTTAAGTACTGACAGCAAATTTTAATATTGTCTGGCAAGGGAAACTGACATAGCATTGCAAAAATCAAAATGATAAAGTAACATGGAGTTTTCATTATGTCTGCTTTGGAGGGATGGGTGGGGTCCAAACTGTGCGAACTTCTTGTAAACAACCTCTTCTGCTGTTCAGAACAAGCCAAACACTTCCATGCTGTGGCCCCTCTGCCTCTAATGGTGGAGGAATGTCTCCAGAGGAGGGTGCATCTGCCTTGGCAGCAGCAGCAGCTCTTGTCTCTGCTGTGTGTGTCCACATTCTTAGTGGAGTTGTGAGCTGCATCTCTTTCTTAGCTTACTCTCCCAGCCTGTCAAAGAGGTATTCAGAAGCTGCCATTGCTGCTGTGGTTGGAAAGGGGACAGGATCTGAAGTTTCTCCTTGAGGAGGTTGGAGAGATGTCTGGGTGCTTTTTCAGTGCCTGAGATGTTGGTGACTGCTCTGCTTCCAGTGGTGGTATCAGCTCTCAGCAGTCCAGCTGTCACAGTTGTACACCTGTGTGCCTCTAGGCTCTTCTCCCAGAAACCAGCATCAGCTTGCTGGGTTTCTTTAAGAATTAGATGACAATTAGGTTATTCCAGCCCAAGGCTGCCTGTTAGCAGTTTGTTTGTTGTCTGATGCTTAACTGATTGTCAGTGGAAGTGGTAGGTTTAGTGAAAATAGGCAAGCTGAAATATCCTCCAGTGCTAACAGTGACACCAGGTCATATAGCTGCTTATCTCTGTAACATCTTAGGGTAGGATTCATCACGTAACTTCAGTCAAGAAATCTTAGCTCAGTAGGCCAATTGTGGGTTACAGCTTGTCTCAACCAGAGGAGTGCCTGAAATAAAAGTTTGTGTGACTCTTTCCCAAGGACTTCCTGGTTTTGTTGACCATGAAGGGTGTCCCATGATGCCCAAGTCAAGTGTAGGCATATAAACTTTGATAGGTGAATTTCATTCTTTCAGTCTTGTCTTCTCTGAGAGATTAATTTTTCCCATGTTGAAGAAAAAAGTTTATTTTTTTCAAAACATCCAGTAAATGGGCTCACAGTACATCCAGTGAGAAATTGGATTGTAGGAAATAGGCATGTTTTATTTGAAAAAGTATCTTAACCTTGCAACATTATCTCTTGTATGTGTGGATTTGGTTTAGATCAAAAGCAATTCAAGTCAACTGCAGCTTGTTCCAGCCCTGTTGTGAAGAGACTAGAATTTCTTCCCAGTCCTGTCCCTTCAGAGGAAACTGCTTCAAGCAAGAAAGATGTGAAGAAAGCTGAAACAGAGCAGCAGAAGGAAGCAGAGGTCCCTCCTACACAGGAGGTATGTACAGGCAAGAAAAAGAGGGAGTGGGAAAAAAAAGAAAAAAGAAAGAAAAATATCTTACACAAAAATGCTTATTGTGCAAATTGGTATTTTTCTCCATAAAATGTCACTTCAGGAGTTCATTCAAAACATGACACTGAAGGATGGTTTCAGCTGCCAAATCATGTGGTCATCAGAGTTCCTCCTCAAAAGGAACTCCACAGTGTCTGCTTGTAGTGTTTGAACCTGTTAACTGATGGGACTGGAAATGAGAACTTAACTTACAAACCCCAGCCCCCACCTTTTGGGAGGGCAGAGTATCCAGGTGGTGCAGACAGGGAAGCTTATCCTCTTAGTCCTCTTGAAGTGCTGAACAGGTGCCTGTGGTGGCAGAGGTAGCAAGCAGCTGTCACCATGCTGCTCTTTCAGGTAAGTTAGGTGTTGGTTAGTCAAATGGTGTTAGAGGACTGATGTGCAGGGCAGTGGGAAGGTCAACAGGAAACAGCTAGCCATTACTTACAGGACTTCAATACTGCAACTCCCTGTTGTCATTCTGGAGATAGAGGCTTCATCTTTGATAATGTTGTTTCAGAAAATAAGTAGAAAGGGTTTAAGCTGACATTTGATGGAACCTGTTGCTTTTTTAATGCTGTTTTCTGCTCCCAAATGTCTGAACAGGTGACTAAAGCAAAGGCTCTGGAAGAAAAGGGGAGTCTAGTGCTGCCATTTTTAAAGAAACTACCTGAAACCAGCCAAGTTACTCTGCATAACTCTGGTCTACAAGGTGAGCAAAAAGCATTTGGAAAACTCAGCCAGACAGCAGCTGAATATGGGCATGTGGTGTTCATGGAGAGGTGCCTAATGACTTGGAAGGGTTTTGGAGCTAAAACAGTAATTTTCTAGTTTCATTGACTGATATTGGTAGTGTGGCTTCTGTGATGAAAAGGATTCTTCTGGCTATTCCTCTTAAATACAACAGCAGAAATTTGACACAGCAGAGAGAGATCTCTGTCTTGCATTTACCTGGCCTTGCAGTAAAGGCTGTATTATGTCAATGAGTATTACATACTGCTGCTCACAGATGATAATGACTTAACAATTGGCTTTATCTCACAATAAAATTTTATGGAGATAAATTTTGCACTCAGCTGCTCTTGTGGAGCTCCTCTTTATAGATGAACAATACACATATCTGACCACATCCTTGAATTTGACCACTGCCCAACACAAGTTCTTGCAATGCAGTACCTTTTTCCTTGCCTTCATGACAAATTTTTGCTTCACACTGATAATGTTTAGTAGTTTGATTTTATATTTATTTTAAATATGCGTATGTGTAGGTATTGTGGAAGAAAAAGAGAAAAATCAACTGAGTTTTTTTTCCCCATAAGAACTTCCTAGATTGTTAATATATAGGTAATATATTGATTAGCCTAATGTTTTCAAGGTTAAAACCACTGAAGGTGATTCACTTTGAAAAAACTGAAGAGGGACTTTTTGCAAACCCATATAGTGATAGGACAAGGAATACAAACTTTAGCCTGAAAGAGGGTAGATTTAGATTAGGTATTTGGAAGAAATTATTTATGATGAGTTGCACAGAGAAGCTGTAGCTGCCCCATCCCTTGGAAGCCTTCAGAGCTAGTCTGGATGAAGCTTTGAGCAATCTGATCCAGTGGAAACTGTCCCAGCCCGTGACAGGGGGAATTGAAACTAGATGATCTTTAAGGTTCATTCCAACCCAAACCACTCTGTGATTGTCTGAAAAGGAATGGAATTCTCTCATGGTTCTAGTGGGTAAGTGCTACCCAAGCAGACTTTGAGAACAATATCTTTTTATGTTAAGCAAATCAAACCAAATAGCAAGTAAAAGGTGGTAGGTCTCTTGCCTTTTCAGTTTTCTGACTGGTGCTGAAACACTTGGCTGCACTCTAGTGTTCACAGCATATAGAGCACTGGAAGGCTCACAAAATGCATTAAAACCTGTATCTGCAATAGGAGTGAATGCAAGCGCCATGCAAAGGCTCAAAAGGGTGGCTGCCCTTGCATCAGCGTGCTTGAGCTCTCACGTAAGTTCAGGCGCCATGATGCAAAAGTCGTATTTAAATACCCACAGTCTGTGTGATCTTCAGGTCCATAGTAAATTAGCTGCCGTGGACCAAGGCAACTGTAGACCAATCCCTCTCGTGGCCAAGGAGGCTCGGGTCTGAGAGTGTGTCCTTACCTTTTCACCACGCTGTTTCTGTTTTGTCTCTGTGCCCTTGCCCGCAGAGCCGCCCCGCGGGGCCCTGGTTCCGCTAAGGGTCCGCAACCACTGGCGGCGCTCGCAGTTTTTCTCGCAGTCAGGTAAACGCAGAGCTGGGAGCAGCTCCAGCCCTTCTGCTCTCCAGCCACAGGTGTCTTCAGACACGGGCTGGGCTGAAAGCTCATCACCACCTGTTCTACCTCTCGCTTTCGTAGAAAGTATCTATCCCTGCTGCACAGTTGACAAAGAGCTGTTGGGTTGCACATTGTTGCGATGCTCTGGTTTCAGGCACCCAAAAGAAATCCCTTGCCTATAAATACCTTTGTCTTAATTTCTTTTAATCAGTCTAATTTTCAAAGACATTTGGATAGAAAATGGCAATGGTTCTCTTCGTAACTGTGGCTCTTGAGTAGTGTAGTCCCATCCTTTTAGCATTGCTGTACTTTTTCCTTCCTTGCACTGAATCACGAAGGGAAAAGTAGATCAAGGTAGGTAAGACTCAGTGTCTGAACACTGCTAACATCTGTGGTCAGAAGTAGATGGCATTAGTTATTGGTAGAGTAGAACCTGATATTAGTTATTGTGCTCCTTTAAATCCAGATAAAAAGTAGTTTTGTTGGTGATGGGTATAATCTGGTTTTCTGATTTATTAGCTTGCAATTAGTCCTTGCATTTGGTTGTGGGAGTAAATAGGAAACTAACATACAGATATAATGTAGATTTATTTACAGGCTGAGGAAATTTTGCTATGCTAAATTTAATCTTTCCTTGTTCTGTTTTTTTTTTAATAGCTGATTCTGATACTGGTGATAAATCAAATGTGAGTACCTTTTTTGCATTATTATTTGGTTTAGTGATTTGTGTTTAGCAGAAATTATTTTTTTATGCAAACCCTCTTGTAACATCCCTAAATCAGAATGAGAACTTTTTCTCATGGACATGTAAGAAGAAAAGTACAACCCAAATCAAGGCATTGTCTGAATCTGGAATTCATGCATTCTCCTCTTCTCTGGAGCTAGCGATACAGTATTTGGTTGCTGGAGCCACTAAAGCTTCAGAATCTCTAAATAAGATGTAATTCTAAATTATCCATTGCATTTTAATGCATAGAAATGAAAGGACTTCACAATTGTACTGTTTCCTCAATGAAACAAAAAACCCCAACACACAAAAAATGCTACTCTGAAGTACACAGTATTTCACATTCTGTTTGCCATATAGAAATAGACATAATCTCTTCCTATGAGATTCAAATACTGCTTATAGTGGAAAGGGATATGACAGGAGGTATCTAAAGTTGCCCTTGATTACAAAGATTTTAAGTATATTATGTGATAGGATCCTTAGCGAAGCCTGAGGATTTATTTAATTATGAATAAAAATTCAAGGCAAGGCTATAGGCTGTTTTGCTGGCAGACATAAAATGAGATTATATTTTTTGCAAACTAAAATTGCTTTTCATGTTGTAAAGAAGATTATAGAGAAGCAAAATATATACATTCTTTAAATTTGAGTCCCTGGAGGTGACTCTGTTCAGTGATGCTTAGAGCTTGCTTTAAGACCTTTTTCCTCCCTTCAGTTGAAGTTTCCCAAGACTTTCTTTGCAAACCAAATGATTCTTTTATCATGTGGCTACTAATGGGCAATCCCAAGTGTCACTGAAGCTAAGAATATTGTCTGCTACCTGAGAGAGCCCTTATCTAGTTCCCAATTTCCCATTGTCACATCATTGGTGGGGTTTAATCAGGCCCAGTGCAGTTTTCTGTGATGGCCATGTGAAGTGCAGTGTCACGGTCTAATAGCTTGGTTTTCCTTCACTTAAGCGTTTCAACTTTTGGTCCTGGGATCCAGAAGAAGAGCGCAAGCGCCAGGAAAGGTGGCAGCACGAGCAAGAACGCTTGCTTCAGGTAGGGAAGAAAATGTGTGTCTTCCACTGTGTGGTTCAGCTGTTGAATTGTCCCTTTTGGACAAAAGTTGAGCATTTCATGTTTTCCACGTCCTCTGTGCATGCTTGAGCAAATTCTGTGGCAGTTGAGTGATAAATGAGCACAAACGTTCTGTGTGGTTTAGGCACTCTCATGTCTCCCTTACCCACTTCATGGAAAGACCAGAAGGACTTGGTCCTGCAATCCAGTGCACAGCTAAACTGAATGTGTTGGTCCTCAATTATATTTAAATTATGCTGAACATAGACTGCAAAACTCTTAATTATTTGGAGCCTTTTTGTCAAGACTGACAATTTCCTAACCCTGATGCCTCTTCTTTAATTCTTCTTTAAAATTATGGTCTTAATAGCTTTTCATAGGATTCTGCTTTGTTCACAGGTTCTTCTTGGAAAATACCAAGCTAAATTTGGACATGAAAGGACTTGGGTTTGAGGGGGTTTTGTAAGAGAGGGAAATATCTTCAAAACAGCCATTAGTTTTGCCTAGTGGTACAGTAAACTCTAAAAGTTCTAGGTTTGTGTCCTAGTGGGAAGAAATGCAGTGGACATGAGAACCTGAATCTCCCAGTCAGTCAGAAGTGTCTTTTGAAACTGTGACTAGCTTTGATCCCAAAGAAATCACATCTTTGTTGCATGTAACAGAAGAGCAAACAACTGTCCAAGGAGGGAGAATAATAAAATGGGGTCTTTTAATCCTTTAAGTAGGACTTGTGTATCTCTATGCTTTCTTGAGATAGTCTAATTTTGCACCTCTTAAAATAGTGTAAAATTCTCATAATAATTTTTCTGGCACATGGGGCTACTCTCTCAATAGTAAATGCTTATTTTCTGGAGTAGGCAGATGTGGTTACCAATATGAACAGATGTTGGAACTGGTGTAAGAGGGAAGTGGAATTCACCATTCCTCTCCATATTCAAACCAGCTCTGGCAAACAATTTTAAACACCTCTTTGAGATATTTTTTTGCGCAAAACTCTGTGAAAACAATTCTTAAGAAATCATGCCTTCAAGGAAGAAAATAAGATATTTAGCTAATTATAATCTTACTCTCTTCAAAGCTTTGCACACTCTTTATCTCTTAAACTTGCATAGTTATTCATCATTCATTAAATTGTATTGGCATATCTCTTAGATTAGAGTTAATGGCATTTCTCTTAAATTAGTCCTGGTATCTGCAAAACCTGCTTATTTATATGCTACTTTGCTGAAGTTTTTAATATACAACCATTGTCTCAGTGTTTCGGGGTCTGTGAAACATTTTTGAAACTTAATACAGTAAGATAAACAAGAAATTATAAATATTTTTGAGCATAAACTTCATTTCCAATGAAAGATTTTTAGAATTCTAAGAAATTAAACTACTTCTAATGTGACAAAAGGTCCTTGAAGTTTGAAGGTGTTAAATGTAAGTCCTAGAAAAAAATGGGCAAAGTTAAAAAGAAGTTTTTATTTTTGACACCCATGGATGTTTCCAATTTTTATCCTTTTATCCTTTTATTTAATCCTATTTCTGATTAAACTACTCTTAGCAAATTAATTTTTACTGTGGGGATACTACAGAATTTGCTCTTAATACTGAGTGCTCTGAATTTACCTGCATTTGTATCCATGTATAGGAGAAGTATCAGAAGGAGCAGTACAAGCTGAAAGAGGAATGGGAGAAGGCCCAGAGAGAAGTTGAAGAGGAGGAGCGTAGATACTATGAGGAGGTATAAGGCTCAGTAGAGGAGGTTGTTTTGTGGGGCTTTATTTTTTTTGTGTGTGTATATTTCAATGCACCCACTTATGGGTGCAAAAACAACAAAAAAAATCATCCCATACCTAGATTAATTAATGAAAATCCTCTTCAAGGCTGAATTTTGAGGAGGACTGTTTCTCTTAAACACTGCCATAAATGTTGAGGAAAAATATTTAAATATTTGGACAGGTATCCTCAGCACCTCCGCATAGGTGGAGGTGTCTAATTGCTGTGCAAGTCAGGGTGAGTCAGTACAGCTGTGTCTGGGCACGCTCAGACTTCCCTGCAGGGCCAGAGCCCTGTGTATTTTGGCATGTATCTGGTGCCTAGACTTGGTGGAACTCCAGGTGAAATTGTTGTCTGCCTTGGGTTTGATCATGGAGGAATTTTGTAACTGCCCTTAAAAAAAAAAAAATAAATCCACAGGAGATGTTCAAAGGTTGCAGTTGTGGAATATTAACAATCTAGAAGATAGTGGTTTTCTTCTGTGGTGTGTAGGTCATTATTGAAGGAAACTGGGAAAGGTTTATAAGTTTGTCTATGCATTATGAAAATGGATGGTTTCTCATCTGTGCTTGAGGGATATACTTGTGGTCTAAACAAGAATTTTTTTTCAACTTTCAGAATAAGTTTCTCATGTACCAATGGTAATTTCATACTTTTGTATTAAACTTAATATATTTGTGCTCTGTGAAGCAGTAGTTCCACGAAAGTGAAATATTCTTTCCTGTTTTGGAAATTCCATCTCAGTGGTAAAAGGAATGGAAGTGCAAAACCCCGAAGCAAATTAAAAATTGGGGTGTTACCATTATTCTCAGTACCACAAGTCCTTATCTAGCCATCTAAATTTGGTACATAGCCAAATCTTATTTTTCTTATGTGTTTCATAAGCTCACAGTTTACATTCTGTATTTTTAACCCCCACTCTCTCCTGATCCTCTTTCTTCAGGAACGAAAGATAATTGAGGATACTGTAGTTCCATTCATTGTTTCTTCAAACTCCGCTGAGCTCCTCTCCTCTTCTTCCTCTACCACTGAAGGAAACAAGACAGTGGTGAGTTTCTCATGGACTAGTAAGGCATTGAAGAGTAAGCCATCTTCAGTGCAAAGTTTAATCCTTAGCTAAAGGCTGTCAAAGTCTGGGAGCAGGAAGAGTAAGGATATTCCCTGGGTCTCATCTCTAATGGTGATGCCTCAGAGTGCTGTGGCTTACAGATTTTTACTGAATAGCTGTATTCCCAAGCAAACTGCTACCATCCCATTTTTAACTGGAGCAAAGAATACTTTCTGTTTGCAGCTGCTCTGTCCCTTAACCAGTGCTGCGAAATTTTAATCATCTTCCAAAGCCAACAAAATCTTAAGTGGTTTCCCTGAATACAAAATCTTGAGTGTAAAATAGTGCTTTATATATATCTCCGATGAGACTGAATCCTACCTCCCCAGTTTTCCTCCTTTTCTCTCCCATCATCCCTCCTAGAAAGCAGCAAAACAAACAGAAGAATGTTTACTCTCTATGTTTCTTTGGCTTTTTTTTCATTTATGCAGCAAAAAATATTTAATTTAATGCATCTAGCATCTGATTAAGTTAGTGTTTGCAGAGATCAGAGAATGAGACCCCAGGTGAAATCACAGTCAAGTAAATGTGGGATTCACAGATGTAATTTTCTCTTGCCTAAGGCACCAGCACCCAGTCATCTGCCTTTTTCCACTGAACTTCAGGATTAGGAGTACTGTATCAATTGATTCTCCTCTCACTCTTCCTGCCCCCCTGTTCTCACTCCTCCCTGTGCAAAGGCCTCAGCCATGGCAAATTTCCCACATGGCTGTGTAGTAGTAACTTCCTTGGTGGAGCTGCTTATGCCACAGTCAAGGCACTGCCTGCACCCAGAAGCAAAGGATCTCATGCCATTGCTTCTTCAAGCTCCACAAGTCAGATATGAACCACTCCTGTAGCACTTTGGAAGTAGTACTGTGTTGTCTCTGAGGATGCCCAGTGCATGTGAGTAATGCTTTGCTCCTAGGCAGTGACAGCAAGCTGAGGTCATTCACAAAGTCCTCACAAGTCCAATGGGAGACTGTCTAGGCTCTCAAAATAATTCAGGGATTTCTGCCAAAGATTATGTAATGGGAAATTTTGATTTGCCATCCTTAGCACCATAATTGGTACCTAACTTATTTCATGCTCAGCTCAGTCCAACCAGTTGTTGTTTCAGCTAAAGTCTTAATTGAATCCAAAGTGAGCCTTATCAGGGTCAAGTGGCTCTACTATATAAATGAGAGATGTTCTTTTTGATAATAAGGTGTGTCAACACAATGTATCTAGGGGCAGCCTGTACTTTTCCCATGTGTTCACCAATGCCAAATTCAAAGGGAGCTCCTTGTTCCCTCTTCATCTGTCTTCTAGAACTCAACTGATTCAAACAGCTGTACAGGGGAAGGCAAGCAAAAAGAAGTTCCAAAGCAGAAAAATCTGCTCTGGGAACAGGACACTGTGTCACCTCTGAAAAGCAAGGAAAGTGAACTCTGGCAAGAAAAGAGGAGGTATGTATTAACCCTAAGCATTTCTAACCCTGTGGAGCTTTGTGTTCTCTTGGCTTCTGGGATATCACACATGCCCACAACTGATGCTGGAGCATCAGCACTTGGTGGCCTCCATGCAATACATCCTGATCAGTGTTCACTGGCCCCACAGACCAATGCATGTGTGGCAGTGCACAGTGCTAGTTGTGCATATCAGAAGTGTTGTCTTTGTCTTGTATGGCTTTGCCAAGAGGCTGTCACAGCAACCAGATCAGACCTTAGACAGCTCAGACATCTGTGTGCATCACTGCACTGTGTCTTGTGCACATTTCACAAGCCATCTGAAGGACTAAAGGAGCAGTGGCTGTTTTCACTCAGAACCTGTGTGAAATTGCCTGGCTATCTCAGAAATGCCATACCCTTGGTGTTTGAAGTCCTGGACTTTGCTCAACTGCTAATTGACAGGTGTCACAAAAGAGAAGAGGCATCTGATGATGCTGAGCAGTGTATAGAGAACATGGATTAAAGCTTTTTTTCTGTCAAAGAAGCCCTTTTCTACAAATGCAAAATGATCTTCAGCACATCTAAGTGGCATTTTGAGGTAAACAGGAGGACTTGGACTGTTTGGAGACAAATTTGTTAATTCATCAAGGTTTTTTCATTGTTTTGTCATTGCAAAATTGACAGAATAGCAAAAATCTTTTTTGTAAAAAACAGACTGATATTCAAAAGTCTGTTTTAGCCATTATGTTCTGGGTGACATTTCTCCTGGCTTTGTTTGTACAATGTGACTTATTTTTATTGCAGTGGAAATAAGGTGCTCTCAGGATACCCAGGGACTGGTATCCTGAAAGGAGGAAGCGAGCAGGAGCACCACATGCCAGGGATGGAGCGCAGCTCACCTGCCAGGCTGAACCTGCCTCTGACCCACGATGAGAGTAAGACTCTTCCCATGCATATGTTCTTCTCCAGATAGAAGTCAGGCAGGAACCTAACTCAAAGCATTTTGGAAATTGACAGTATACATATATCTTCAAAACTGGAATGTCTCAGACTAAAAATTTATTTAAAGTTAGCAAAGATAAATATGTTAAGGTGAAATTTAAAGTCCTCTTGTTTCCATCAGAGATGACAGCAGGTATCTCATTTATAGGCCTGCATGTTCACAGTATCAGTTAAAAAGTTTATCTTCTATCTTTTACATAATCTTACATGCCTACAACATATAGGATTTATCTTGATACAAAGAGCATATTTCCAACACTTACTTTGCGTTTTTGTAGGTGATTAGATTCTTGATGTTCATTTCAGTCCAGTCAAAATCACTACATGTGATATGTAACCTTTTCAAACCAAGCCTAAAGCAACACCTGCCTCAATTTTGTCATTAGCAATGTCTAATGACATTTAAATTTAATTTATTTTTTTTAGCTTCCACGAGTATGGATGTTTTTGAAGGAAAGAATTTCCCCAAAGCATTGCTGTCATGAGGGTCACCCTAAAAAAAAAAACCAAAAACCAGCAAATGAATGAACTTAGCATCATTATCTACCTAATACAAGTGAACAGTGGAAAGTAAATAAGTAGGACTAAAGACAGCAAGTGAATGCGAATTCTGAAATCAAGTTTTAGATTTCTGGTTTCAGTTCAGCATAAAAATTCATTATTCTAAAAAATTAAGTGTCTATGGATTGAAAAGTTTTCAGTGTTATTACTTGCTCCAAATGAAAATTCAGCCTAGTAAACTTAGTAGGCTTCCTTGTCTCAGTTTTATTGTATTCTTAGTGCTTTGATAAAAGTTGCACAAAGAAAGAAAGCAAGCAGACTATATATTATCCAGCAATACAGCCTTGGGGATTTGTAGTAGTGATTAAGAAAATTTAACAGGTTTGACAATTTTAAACTGCATCTGCTAATAACCCTGCTTAAGGGTTTTCCTGGGTTCTTTTCAACGATTTGGTCCTCTGCAAGTATTCTGACAGCTCCTTTCTTGCCTCTTAAAGCATCCCATCCTTGCTCCCTCCTTAAACCCTTAAATAATCAGGCGGGTTTATTGTCTTGATATCAAAACAGGTAACAGGCTTTCATAGGCCCCAGCAAAGTTTTCATTCTCTAAACCAGATGGTTGGCACACAGCAAGGTAAGGCTTTTCTCCAGCTGTGAGCCACAAAATTCATCTTGCAGGGTCCAGGTAATGCAGTGTTTCTCAAGGATAGGATGGCTGGCTGCCTGGGCATCTCACAGGTCATTGCTTTTTGCTGTGAGGCTGTTACTGTCACTGAGCCATGTGAAGCACAGAAGAAAATGACAAAGGAATTACTGTTCATCAGGAGGTTTATGGAGAGCAGTGACAGTACCACCATCCCCTTAACTCCTGCTGTTGAGACGTTTGGATCCTCCAGCACCACAGTAGTTTCTGGTCTCTGGTGCTTCCTCCATTACGACAACCTTATTTTCCCAAGTGCTGTTTGTGGATGGCTGTTTGACCTTGCCCTTTCCCCCTTCAGAAATACATTCAGCAGCAGGGTAGATCATGTGTATGTGAGGGTAATGCTGAGGAATGATGTTCCAAAGAGGTCTTCTGATGTAGCAAAACCTGTCTCTGACTTTGTGGGGGTTTCTGAGAAGTTTGTTTTAAGAGGCAGTACATCTCTCTCCTTTGTTGTGTGCCCACAATCCATGATGGTTTATAAATACTGACAAAAGCCTTTTGCCTCAAATGCTGAGTTTTCCCCACCTCTGGCTGTAGATGTCTCCTGGAATCAGCAGCTGCTGACAAGGCGATCTCCACAGTGCGCGGAGGACATTCGGCAGAGACCATTCCTGGGCCAGGCTGTGGGACAGCAACCAAGCTCTGCAGGGGAAGCAAGGAGGTGAGAATATAAAGGTTATTGAAGAGATTGAGAAGTCCTGCTCGCTCTGTTCTCCCTTACACTCCTGCTCAGCATCTTTTGTTGGTTGGGTTTGATGAGTCCTGCAGTGTGAAGATGTCCTTCATGTCTGGCTTTCCCACAGAGACTGCTGACATTTATCTACTTGATTTCTCATTACAGGCACCACAGTTACTCATTTCAGGAGGGAGCACACCCCCTGCATGCCTCTCTCTTCTTTCCCCTTAGCTCTTTCAGCACATATCTGCATAACTTTTCATATGCTTAATTTGTTTTAATTGCCTGAGACAAATATTTGTAGGTAATAAGTAGCTAAATATGAGGATGGGGTTGTCAGGTTATATCTGCCTCTTTGAAGATGGTATCCAGGAGCTTCATTCCTCATCTTCCAAACACGTATTGATTGCTACTTTCTAGTACTTTAAAGATTATGCCTTTTAAAAGAAGATTGAGATAAAATAGTATTTGCCTTCTGCTGTAAACTTTGGTGAAGTGTTTTTTTCTTGCTACTTTGCCTGTGGTTTTTGAGTAAGCCTTACTGAATGGTAACACCAGTTCTTTTGGTAAATAAGGAATCTGTCTGCCTAGTATTTACAAAAAGAAGCTATGCAACGAGAAAGTAACGTCTGTTTTCATTAGCATATATATAAACACAGTCTTCTGCAAAACCTGTTACCTCTATTAAGATTGTATCCAGTCAAAACTAATGTAGATTGAGGTTTGATTACCTATTCCTCATTATAAACTGCTATAAGCTGCTTGTGTGTATGTTTGAGAAAATTGTTATTTAATCTAGAAACCATTTTAAGCAGTTACAGTTTGGATCAGTCATATGATTTCTGATAACAAAAACCATGGTTTTGATCACCAAGCTCTTTCAGAGTAGCATAGATAGCAAATAACCATTAACCAAATAAACTGCCTTTCTGTGTTGGTAGCTTCCTTTTTACTCAGTAAAGGGCCAACAGAGGGTGTGGTGTGGTGTGGTGTGACTTGGCTTAACCCCCCCTCATCATGGTGGGAGCTGTGATGAATTGGTGGGGTGGGCAGGAGTCTCCATATGGCTGATTACTGTGTGAGTTACCTGACTGAGCAGCAGCGAGCAGACTCAGAACCAAAAGTCCTGAAATTCACTAACTGGAGTTTCTCCGTACAAAACCTGGTTTCATTTGTTGTTCACCTGTAGTAACATGTCTTCTCTGCTGTGTTTTAGGGCAGGCTACCATGAGAACTTCCGATCTGGGCCGTCATCTCCCTGCTCTCCTGCTGCTCTCAGTCACTCACCCAACAGGTACCAAAGGTCAATAAGGAATTTTGCAGACCAGGCACATCTTGTTGCTGGGGAACTGCCAGAGTGAAAATCACATTAGTATTATGTGGATGCACTATTAAGTCTGCAAGGTGTTGCAATTCATACCTGTCCATGGGATAAACATGTAGCTCCCGTATTTTTTGCCAGCTTCAGTGGTACTGTTACATTTTCAAATAACACAGTTCAGAGAGCAGCTCTAGAACTCTGCTTGATCATTGAAATTTCAATAAAATTGAAATGGGACAGTATAAACCTCAGTCAAAGTGTGAGCTCAGAGCACTTAAGCCAAAGAATATCTTCATTGTGAATAGTCACCTGCTCAGGAGTAAGATCTGCTCTAGACATTGGCACTTACTGATTTAAAAATAATTTTTTCCTTTCATTTCCAAACTAGAAACACATTTTGCTGTTTTGCTGAATTTTACTTTGCCCACAGTCATGCTAATCTCCTAGAGATTTGATTCTCTCAAAGCAATCTGTACATTTTTCAGTTAGTTATGTGTACCAACTCTAAATACATGTAGCCTGATTAAATCACTGATAATTTGGGATATATTAAAATCACTTTGCTTATTAAATAGGGTAAATTAATACAGCACAGAACACAGCAAGTTTCCTTCTTTTTGAATTGCATTGTTCTTCACTTTTCAGAGCAAAGCCCTCATTTGCATTGACATGAAACTATTGGGAATTTTTTAAGTGAACAATTTATTATGTTTTTCTAACCATAGCTGCAGTTTTGGTGGGATTGCATTTCCTTGCTACAGGTCACTCGTTGTGATAGCTACTTCATATTATTAAGTAGCTATATTCTGATCTGAGAATCTTTTGCATGATCTTTTTCTGACCTAAATCTTAGTTTTGTAAACAATAGATGGGATATAATTAATTTTTCCACTAAAACATTAGAAAACTCTTAAAAATTTCTCAAGATCCGAGACTTTAATTTGCTCTTGTAGTAACTCTGATAGTGGAGAAGAAGTAAAAACAAAGGTGAACTCCAAAATAACATAGAAGCAGAAGGGTTAAGGCTGTAGGAGGGGGAAAAAAACCCCAGTGAAGTTATTCTAAAAGGAATAATGATAATGAACCAACAAGAGGGTCATATGTCTGTGCTGCCTGTGTACATAGTGGGCTCAATAGTTGGAAGAAAGGGCAATTTTCTAATTGTGATGAGTTTTTCTGCTGTTTCTGTCTCTCTTTCTCTGTGTCTCTTTTTTTTTTTTTTTTTCCTAAATGGCTCTTTTGTCACGCTGCAGTCCAGATCTGTATCTGTTGGTGGCTTATTGTGTTGCTGCATCAAAACCTCATAGCAAGAGATTGTAAACTTGCTTATCTGAGTAGTATTTCATCAAACTGTCTTTTCAAAACTCATGAAGTATCACACAGTTTTTCTCCTGGTTGAAAAAAGCATTGGTGACACAGAGTGACAGGGGATCCCTTTTGCTCTCAGATCTATCTCACTAGGCCAAGAATCAGTTCTGGCAGGCTGACAGGCAGGAGAGAAGTGAAAAGTATGAGACCCATAAAGTGGGTAGCTGCACTGCCATTAAAACCATTATGAAAAAGGGCACCAGTTGTTCCTGGGGCTCTGAACCTTCACCCACCTGTCATCCAACAGTAGATTTAGGAGAGAGGTCTAGACAGTCCTTCAGGACTGCTGAAGGTGCAAGTTGAAGAATTTTCTGCATTGCAGGTGGAGATCCAATTTCAGGTTTTCTCTGACTAGTTATAGTATTAAGTGGCTGCAGCAGCACAGTCTGAAATGAGTCAGCCAGTGCCTGGTCTGTGCTACTGTAGTTATGCTGTCATTTTAGCATCAGTTGCAGTCTTCTTGAAGCCACATTTTTCTCTCAGTTGTAGTGTTCTTACAGCCATGTTTGCCTCCTAGGTCTGTCAGCGGGAAGAAGCTTTGTTCTACCTGTGGTCTGCCTCTTGGAAAAGGAGCTGCCATGATTATTGAAACACTCGGTCTCTATTTCCATATTCAGTGCTTCAGGGTATGGTTCTTGCTTTATTAAGAAAAACCTCAAGTCATGCACAGTGCAAGTAGAGAGTAGATATGAAAATGGAAATGAGAGGACCAGGGGATTTACATGGTTATGTCTGAGCATGTTTGTAAAGAAGTGGAAATAACACAACTAATGTGTTATCTTGCAGTCAGACACATTAATTGGACTAAAACCTGTGATCAAGCAAGCAAATTTAGCTTCTGTTCTTACAGGGGGGGAACTATCATATAATTTCTCTGTTGTGCTCATTGTTTTTTAAATATAACATTATTTACCTTGCGAGTTGTTTTCTTTTCCTTCCAAAAGCATGATCAGTCCCAAAGCCATCTTTGATCTGCCCCATGGTTGGAAAGCTTTGACAATGGAATGAATGGTGTATTCTGGCTTTTACCAGAAATATTTCTTGACTGTTTTGAGTGTTTTCTAGAGAAATCAGAAAGCATCCATTTTGATTATCTCTGGCTCAATTGATATTAGACATTTGTGAAGACTTTTTTGATTTTAGACATTTACCCAGACTAAATCTCTGGCCTCTTTAAACTTTGTCCATTACAACTTACCTGCCTACAGAATGCAGCCTCAAAGTCAGATGTCCCATATAAGAATTAGGCTTTACTTCTGTGTAAGCAGAGGCTGCTAAAATCCAATCCTAAACACTTCTGACTCTATAAAAACCCTCTTACTGGTTTGCAGTGTTCCCCAGGAGTATGGGCTGGGTTCTAGGTGGGTATTTTTTTCACCGTTCCAAGAACTACTTGAACAAAAGTAAAAATTTGGGAAGAGTTGTGACAAATAGCAGGTCATGGTCTCTCTTACTTTCTGTGTTCTTCACCTGACAGTGTGGGGTTTGCAAGGGCCAGCTGGGAGATGCAGCGAGTGGCACGGATGTCAGGATCAGAAATGGCCTTCTGAACTGCAACGATTGCTACATCCGATCCAGGAGTGAGTACCGAGCCTGGCAGCTCTGACAGGGAATGCTGTGGCCATGATTTAACTGCTGGCTTCGTCCAGCTCTGACACTCAGGTGTGGCTTCACCATGGGAAGAGGAGTCTTCCCACGCCATTTTAATGATTTTCTCTGATCAGAAAAGATTTCCAAGCCCATTAAATTTTCCCAGAGGATCTCTGTTGAGCACTATTAGACTCAAAGGTTGTTTCTGTGCATAAACATGAACTCCTATACTATGCACAGATTTTGCATGACCCAGAGGCTTGGATCTCTCACATCACATGAGACAATGTAAATAATTCTACCTGATCTAGGACCCTGGGCCATATTTGGAGAAGTTCCCATTTTTTTAAATCTCTAGGCCTCCCTTTTGTGGACAAAATGGTCATGTAAAATATTAAGAACATTCTGTAACTTGTAGTGAATCCTTTGGGTGGTATCCCCAGATGTGTGCTAAATAGTGTTGCTTGCTATAAATTTTGAAGAATGAGCCCAACAATTGCATATCAGAAAGAAAACTTTGTGATTTTGCTGCCTTAGAGCAGGTCACCTAAATGTCTTTCCAAGTCCTGGATTTCTGTGACTGGTACTAAATTACAAGAACATTTCAGATTTGCCCCAATGTCACCAGTGATGGTCAGTGATCATGCTGGTTTCCACCTTGTGGAAGTAGCAAAACAATAGGATTAATTGTCTTCCTGTTAAATATTTTTTGGGATATTCACTGCCTACAGTTCCAACTGGTAAGTGGACATCTAGAGGTCTTTTTGCTTGCTACTTCCCTTGCCCTCTCTCAAAAGTACTGGCTGCAGAAATTCAGGAGTAGGAAAAGTACCTCCCTACCTCTGCCAGAAGAAAAATGAGTACTTTTGCTCTGGCGCTTCAGGAATGAGATACTTCTCCAGCAGCAGAGCTAGAGGGTGCTATTGTATAACTGGTTTTTTTGGCGATTTTTTTCTTAAATTCTGCTAAGAAATGTTATCAACTTTTTATTATTTATTTAACCTGAAATATTTAGAAATAGCGTTTTCCCCTTCCCTATAGTGCTTGATACTATAAATCTTCCTCATGTGGATGAGGTCCTGACCCTTAAAATGCAGATTTACTCATCCAGCTTTACAAAAAAAGAGAGGAAGGTATAAAAGTTATCATTTCCTTTTCTTCTTAGTCCTTTTTACTTAAATGAAAATCTAGGTCCCTTGAGGATAGATAAAGGCTCAAAAATTATCAGCTTATATGCTGTAGAAATCACTCTATCCATTATAACTTCTACAGCAGTGTTACTAGAAAATGCATTAGAGAGCTGTGTGCAGTGTTTCATGTAACAGTGTTTTGCATTTCTACATGCCCAGCAGAATGGTAACCAAGTCCATGACAGAGGAAATAGGTTTTGAGAAAATGTATGGCTACTGAAGAATAATAATGGCATGGGGGTTTTAATTTTTACAACAAATTGCCTCTTCCTGCTGGGTCCACTGGTCATGCAAAATCTCAAAATCCAGTCAGTTGAATTTAAGCTGCAGTAACTGTTGTTGACAATTGAAAGGATAGAACTGTATGCTTTGGATAGAACTGTAAATATTGCTAGTTGCTATTTTTTAGCTAAAATTTGATGCATTGCACACCTGAAATTAAGAATAAACTGGTCCAATGTCAGTGTTTTGCCTTTGAGTTCTGGGAATAATGCTGCAAAATGTCAAATCAAGTTGTTTGATTGCATGGCTTGTGCCTTCCTGCCCCCGTGAAACCTGTGCAGCAGTGGGCAGAAGTGACAATCTCTGACTAACCTAGGGTTAGTCAGTATTGTTTGGAGACAGTTATGGACATCTTGATGAAATATTTTGACTCCCAGAAGCTTATCTGAAGAAATGGACAATTCTGTTTTGAAATAAATCGTCAAAAAAGACGACTAGAGAAGCATTAAGGATTATGTAGTAGTCCAGGGTCCAAAATATTTCTGGTTTTCAGATAAAAGTGGATGGGGCTTTTATCAGTAGGTTGTTTCTGTTCAACGAAACCTCACAAGGAAGGAAATTCTCTATTCAATGTCAAACACAGGGAGTGGTCACAGGTTGATGAGAGTCAAAGTCAAAGGCTGCAGAGTCTTAAATAAATATACACACAAGTACTTTGGGCGTAAAATAAGATAAAACTTCATGCAGAATGCATTCAACATGTGGTAAGGAAAATGTATTTCCACTGGAATTATGCTGAATCTTTGTCATAGTTACTGCCCCCCCCCCCCAGCTTTGCATAAGAAAGAAAAGACAGGGCACAAATATATAAAGATACATTTTTTTGAATTGTAGAGATCATGTACAGAAAAGTCTATATTTGTTAAAATTTGTAACCAATAGCTTGTTTTGGTTTTGTTTTGTCTAGCTGCTGGACAGCCAACTACATTGTGACATGACTTTCAGTCCTAATAAATTTCAAGAAGGAACTCTCTTCTCATATGTATCGGCTGCCTCCAGACAATCACTTGTAAAAGCTTGAATCCATGGACATGATGGCTCTCATCTCGTTTTTAAAAAACTCACAAAAAAGCTGCACCTGCTCCTTTGAAATGCAATATGTTGGTTTTTGCTTCCTTAAGAAATTTGCAAAATATGTATGACCATGTTTGGGAAAGCAAAGCCTGAGTACTATAAAAAAAAAAAAACAAAACCACCTTTCAGGTATGCTTATGATACCCAGTCTGTTACCTTGTTCTTTTGAAAGTAATAAGAGAATAAACATGCAATAAAGCTGTTTTGTTTTAATATTTCTAGCAATTAAAAACTTTAAGTTTACAGAACCTTTATAGAATATGCCAACTTGAGCTGAGAAGTAATTTTGAGATAGTATCTAATCAGTGCATTTGGAAAACTAAACATCACAGCACGACTTCTCTGTTATAACTGAAGCTGTCACTTTTTTTATACAGAGACTAGTTTGATAATACATCCTGTACTTCTGAAGCATTTTTTGTTTATACTACCTTCAATGGAGGGTAGAAGTTAAACAAATAAATTATTGCACCTTTAGTCATAGGATTTTTTGTTTGTGTACCTCAAGTAATGTTCATGACTATAGCTTAATATTCTCTGAAATAAAGATTTCTTCATTAAACCTAAAGACTGCATACCATTAACAATGGGAAAATTCCCATCAGGAGCAATCCTTCTTAATAAGCCCAGCAGCCTGTGTTGTTATTAAACTCGCTGGAAGGTGATGTGGGGAAGAGCAGCTGAGCGGAGCTGTGAGTCTCTGAGCTGAGCTTGATGCTGTGGTGAAGCTTTTCTCTTTGGCATGTGACTTGCCAATTGATTTGAGTGGGCTGGACATCTGCTCATTCACTTGCAAACATTACACTTGGTTGAAATCTCATGCAGAGAAACACATGTGGTTTGGGTAAACCCCCAGGGTGGAGAATTAGACATCCTTGAGCCTGTGTTCCTCCATCCACTATCCAAAAATAGTCAGCAAAACCCAGAAGTGTGGAAGATGGGCAGGGAGGAGGCTGGAGCTGCAGGCAGAAAAACTACCTTGCCTGTGTTTGGCACAATTTTCCTTTGTGCTCTTTGATGAAGCATGTGATCCAGCAGCTCATTGAAACAGAGGGTTCAGCAGATATCTACAATACTCAGACAAAGTTAGGAATGTATTGCAACTGTAAAATATCCTAAGACTTTTTGGTAAACAGTTACTGGAAATACCTTCAAATGGAGGGAAAAAAATCTTTTTCTGCCTTAAAACCACTATAAAACTAAATGAATAGAGATTTCTTTTATCTATGTGCATATCTGTCATCTTTTGATGTGTTGGTAAATAGAAATGAAGTGGTTATTAGGGAAGCAATAATTCTGAGTTGTTCTCTAGATAGCAATTATTTATTGAAATGCTAGACAGTTGCGTGCATGTGAATTGCATAACCATGCAAAACTACGTGTCATCAAACACACCCATGTGATGTCATTGGAGGACATTGTGACTATCTGCTGGAAAGTTACATGTGACTTCCTCAATATTGTGCCTTAGAAAATGCGAAGCTGTTGCACACAGTCAGCAATGACTTATGGATGCAGTAAATCCAACAAGCTGAAGTCCTTCTTGGACTTTACCTGGGGAATATTTTTAAGTAAAAATTAAATAAATCAGACAAATGTTTTGGAACTAAAAGTGATATCCTATATTTTGATCAGCCACCTGCATGATTTACTGTTAAAAGGTTTTGATAACTAGGATGCTTACTCTCTGCTTGTGGTTGTTAAAACATTTTCCCACAAAGAATGTGTAACATGGAAATTCAAGAAGCAGATTTCGTATCTGATGTGGTACATCTGTATAACTCCCTACGCTGCATTAAGGATATGTAAATATATAATGTCTGAACCTAATTTTTAAATGAGACTGTGCATGCTTGTGCATCTATTTGGTATGGATCTCTAGCACTGCTTCACCCACGTGATAGAGTTAGATGTGCAAATCAGTCCCCAAGTGTATCAAAGGTTGGTGTCTCAGAGGTCAGGCCTGCTTCTCATTCATGTAGGGGTAAGTGCCCAAAGGGCTTAGAAGCATGGTTGGGATAAAGTGCATGAAAGAGGGGGGAGGGATATTGCATCACACTGCAGACACATCACTGGGTCTCTGGAGTCGTTTAGGAATTGCTCCCAGTGTCTATCAGATAGTTTTGTGTATGCATGCTTTAGCAAAGTTGATTGTACTCAAAGCGAAATGAAGCAGCGCTCAACAATGACGATTTTTTTCCCCTAATGAACATCTACTCTCCAGCACAGAATAATTTCCAACAGTTTTCCAAATCATACTTGCCAACTTCTTATGTTTGATTTTATACTCCCTCTGGAATCTTACATGGCAAATTCATTCAGGCTAAGATTTTTTTTTCTTTTTTTTTTTTTTCCAGTTTAAACACGTTAAGATTATACATTTCTAGTCAGGAACTTTGAGCACATAAAAAAAATAATGCTTTCCCACATTTGAACTGCAATGTAAATGTATTTGTTGCAAAAAGTGATTTATTATTGCTAAGCAAGTACAATATATGTAATGGGTTTTAGATGTTTTGGAATTTATTTAGCCTCTTACTACTTCAGAGAACCTGAACAGGTGTCATAACCCATCTGTATTTTACAAGCCCATTTTCATGGTGTATTTTTTCCTTACTCTTGCTATGTAGTGTTATTGATGCAGTACATCTGTAGTTTTCAGTGAATGTCGTAAAGGTTGGTGAACCAGAGGGGAACCATCCTTATCTGCATGTCCATTCAGGGACAAGGATTGCTCTCCTAGCTGGGGCTAATGTTGAATACCGATTATGCTAATCTTCCCCTTATTTTATTTATTCTAAAATGCCTCTGGAAATTAGGAAAACTTGTCTAAAACTCAACAGCTTTTATAGTAAATGTATGTTTATAAATAAAATGTTGATTACCTTTGGTGGTGTTGATTTTACTTATTCTAACTAACTTCTATTGCGTGAACCTGGATTGCAGAGTAGAGGCTTCTGCTTGGTTGAGCTTGGCTGACCCAAACTATGTTTCCCAGGACTTAGTGTATGAGATGAGACAATAAAAAAGACGTGGCTGAGATGGCACGTGGCAGAGCATGTGTGCCTGTTGTGGTGAAAGATGAACAGAAAAGGCTTTCTGTGGAGAGGCTAACCTAAAGTCCTCAGATCTTTCATCTGTGTTGGTGGACTGTGGTTCAGACTTCACCCAACAAAGCACTTTGTATATGGCAGTGCTAAATATGTGCTTAATTCCATTTCCATGTAGCAAAGATCCTGGAGTTTGTGCTTAGGTTTGCATTGGCTAAGGTATCTCACTAACTCTTGAATTGCAACAAGGGTAAAACTTGTCCAGTCACCAGCAGAAAGTTCACAGAAAATTTTAAACTAATAACTGCCCCTTTCTCTATTGAGTCTTAAGTGGATGACAAGTTTGAGTTTGTGCCAGTAGAACATCTCGGCTGTCAGATGAGTCATGAGGATGTGCAGACAATTTAATTTTTCATTCATTCATTCATTCATTCATTCATTCATTCATTCATTCATTTATTCGGAACCATTATCCTGGTTCCCCAAAGGCAGGGGTGGTGGCCATGCGCTATTCCAGCGTGTCCATGAGGGCCAGCACTCTCTCTGGTGGCAGAGGCACGCTGGCATTCCCGGCAGTGCCACTGGGGCCCAGTCTGTGGGAGCTGCTCGCTGCCACTGGAGGCTGCTCTGAGGCTGGATTTGAGGCAGTCAGGCTGCTGTTTCTGCTCCAGCAACTCTGCACCAAGGCTGCTTGGCACACAGACAAACTCTGTTTGTGACCCCGATGAGCTGGAGAAAATGGTGGCAATCCTGGTATGATTTTTGTAATATTGTTATTATTATTACTATTTTCTAGTGAATGTGACCTGCACAGTCATTTATGGTCCTAAAAGGGAACCATTGGCGTTGCATTCACCAGGCAAAATAATTTTGAATACCTTGTAAATGGGGAGTTGTGTCACTGGGTTACATCCCCAGAACCTTCACCTGCAGGTAGCAAAGGCTGCCTGGAGGGCCCTGAGGGAAACCACAGGGCTCACAGGGCCTTGGCATCCCTGGGCAAGGGGATGTTGAGCATGTTGAGCAGTGGGATGAAGCTGAGGGTGTATGGGAGAAATAGGAGGTGAAGGGAGAGACGAGTGGGCTGTTACAGCTGAGGTTCAAACATCAGAGCAGAGGATACCCCACACAAAGAGGGATGTGAGTGTGGCACCCCAGGAGAGCTCTGTGCCTCCTCCTCATCCTGGCCAGGTGTGATGCCCCCATCCCTCTCCTATCCCCCATCATAGACTTGCTGGGACAAGTGCTCAGTTTCTTCCATCCAACCCACTTTGTTTCTCATTTATTTTCTCTCCTTTGCCAGTGTTTTGGTGCAGAGGCCATCAGTGAACACAGGCAGGTGCTGGTAGCTGCAGGAGGCTCTAGGCACAGTGATGAACATCAGTAGCTTGCTTACCTTGTGAGTATTGATCATGATCCAGTGAACTCTTCTGGAGCACAGTTAAAAGCAGGCAGCTACCACTTTGTTTAGAAAATTAGCTTTAGATATGGGTCTTGATGGGTCCCCTTCCTAGTAATGGGAGGATAGTCAAGTAGTTACTCAATAAAATGTGCAGAGTGGAAGCCTGCCCTTCACCAGGTTGGGAAACTGGGGAACAAAATGACAAGGTGACAACATGACAAGATGACAGAGACACATCTGCAGTGAAATTCAGAAGGGGTTGTGAATGCTCAAAATGAGCAGATGACCACTACTTGAATGGGAAAACAAAAATGTCAGTAAAATAAATCTCCTGTAAAGGCAAACAGGTCTCCTATACAGTTTTAAAAGCCTCCGGTAGGAATGTAATTTCATCTGAATTTCCTGATAAGGGGAAATGACTAAACTGGAAGCTGCTCAAGTTTTTCAAGTAATAAGAGCCCAAAAAAAGAGATAGAAGGTACAGGACAGGATGTGACTCTTCCTACAGTACAGTGGGGGGTTGGCATTTGAGGATTATTGGGGTTGCCTATTTTCTAGTTCAGGTTTTTTATAAAATGTACCATGAGTTTAACATGCAAGAGGGAGCTGCTGCTCCATAGATCTTGTGGAATGCCTCATGCTCTGCCAGAGTAAGTAGTGAAGCTAGGTAAACCCCAAAGCATATGGGGTTTTAAGTAATTTAGGAAAAAAAGCCCTCCATTATTCAAGATAATCTTATAAGTCACTGTTCACTCATCCATAGAGTCCATCTGCTTCCCTGCACCTGATGCACTGTAAATTCTCTTAGCTAATGCCACATCCATAGCTCACAGATGTAATTTTTTTCCTAAGCAGATGACCTGCTGGTTAAAACCTGCAGAAGCCAGTCATGGGTATAGAAACTAAATCAAAACTAACCAAACTGCAAATCTTTCCTTGAAATAACAGAATTTATCAAATGGGAAAAGAAAGTAAGATTTCAAAATTTCCTTTTATCTTTTATATCTGATTATAGACAAAACCACTCCAATTACAAACACAGAAACAGAAACATGCTATCCACATCTCTGGAAACTTTTTGTAGTAATGCTGGAACTGCTGTTCCAGGGGCCTGGA